CTGGCTTTAAGCTAGGGGTGTTGGCACTAGGAAGAACACATTTCAGGATTGCCATTCCATGCATCGTCATGATGTGCTCATGTTTCCTTGTCACAGGAACGCAAGATGTTTGAAAAGAAGCATTTGCCGAGCGGCGTCACATTCGTCCGGGAGCCCATCTTGCGGCCGAAGGTGTAGGTTAGGGATTCGGAGAGTAGAGTTTAGGGTTTCGGAGGTTTGTTTTCGAGGGGAAGGGCCATGCACCCTACATTCTTGGGCCACTTCCTCTACCAAGTTGAAGTTCAAAGTGATGGGTTGAAGTTCAAAGTGATGGGTTAAAGGATTTCGATGCCTTGTCATTTCGGATAAAGGGTTTGAGGGCTAACCTTCAAAACCTGCAGACTGACCTCGGTGCAGGATTCGGGGCGTGAAGATGTTGGTGGTTTCAGGGACCGGCGCCTTCATGCAAAATTCCAAACACCTCGTAGTATCAATGAAGGATCTTCCCTTCAAGCCCCCAAACTCCCACTTCAACCCCAGCCCCAAACCAGCTTGAATCCCGAACCCCGACCGCCCACGTTTCTGCACGTCTCGGCTCCCATCACTTTGAACTTCAACTTGGTAGAGGAAGTGGCCCAAGAATGTAGGGTGCATGGCCCTTCCCCTCGAAAACAAACCTCCGAAACCCTGAACTCTACTCTCCGAATCCCTAACCTACACCTTCGGCCGCAAGCTTTGAAGCCTGAATCTCCAAACCCAACACCTTGCCAAAACATTGAGCCCCCAAAACCTTGAACTCTACGATCTGAGCCTTAAGCGAGCAGCGCCCTTTCCGTCAACAAAGAAGAAAGAGCTGCCTGAACCCATGAAGCGAGATACAAAGCCTCCTGCCATGACTGACCTGTAGGGCCTCATAAGCGTCAACAAGCAACCCAACATCTCAATCCGGGGAGACAAACCCAGACCGTTGAAAGGATGCCAAAGATGGACAGCCGTGTCTGTGCGAGTCGACGTGCGGCTTGGAAGCTTACGGTCCTGTCCTGAGTGCTTCTACCGGGGTGTGAAGCACTGCAGGCTTGCTATAGGATGTTTGAGTTTCAGAAGTGGTCGCTGTGGGTTTTATGGGTTTCGTTTTGAAGGGTACACCGGCGAGGGCAGGAAGCAATAGATCAATAGAGCAAGAAAAGTTGTGGTTTGATGTCAGGCAGGAAGGTCAGACATGAAGGTCATATCGGGACCCTTAAGGGGCTAAGGGGAGCGGGGGGTAGGGGGCCTTAATGCCGATAGTAAGGCCTATTTAAGGAAGTATAGTCCCCTACCCCCCTCCCCCTACCCCTCCAAGGGTCCTTGTGATCATAAGTAGACAGACTGAATCCGGAATTTGGCTGAACTAGACAGGGGTTTGGCGACAAAATCTATTTCTGTTCGGGTTTCTGAGTATGGCTGCAAAGCTGGCCTGAGACATGCGTATTGGTTCGAGCATGTGCAGATATGAATGATATGTGTATGTCGTACAGTTCAGACCTATATTGCCGATATATATCTATCTATCTATCTATATATATATATATATGTAGAGTTAAAAACACATACGTGCAAAGCTAGATATACACATGTAGATATAACACCTGTTACAATCATACGTTTACGCAAGCATAGCTCAGCATACATACATACATACATACATATATACATACATACATATATACATACATACATACATACATACATACGTAAGTACCTGCATACGTACGTACGTACGTACGTACATTCATACATACATATATACCTACATACGTACACACATACATATCTACATACCTACGCACCTAGGTATGTATGTGTGTGTACGCGTACCTGTACTTGCATGTGTATGCGTCTTCGTATGCGTGTTCGTCTGCGCCTGCGTATTCGTATGGGTATGCGTATGTGTATGTGTATTACGTGTATGTGTATGTGTATTATGTGTATGTGTAATATGTGTATGTGTATGGGCATGGGTATGCATATGGGTATGTGTGTGCATGTGTATGTGTATGTGTATGTGTATGGGAATGGTATGGGTATGGGTATGTGTATGTGTATGCGTATGCGTATGGGTAAGTGTATGTGTATGTGTATGTGTATGTGTATGTATAATTATGTGCTTATACATACATACACACATACATACAGACTTATAGTTACCTATACATGCTTATATGTGCATACGCATATCTGCTTGTATATCTAGGTTCTAGATCGTGGAAGACCTGTTTGTCGGCCATGAGCGGCATTCAACACCCGATCCTGGTGTGCTTTACTCGGTAGTTTCTTTTTGCCCGACACGCCAGTGGTGAATATCTGGTAGACAAAGCGCATCCCTGATTGTAGTGCGATTGTAATCTTGGCTAAGAGACGATAAGACTGGTCAAATTCTGCAATGCACCCACACACACACACTCACAAAGGAGCCGAAGGAACACAGTCAGAATCCCTATGCCATCCTAAACAAACATCGGATGTGTGCGGATTGTAGCAGGACCTCTAGTTGAGTTTCGACGGAGAAGAAGCCAGATGACTTTGATGGTGTCAACTCTAGATTCAATTTGCATCGGACCAGGCCCTGACAGAGTTATCGCAGTAGGAAGCCATTTGCAACGTCTTCGTGTCTTCAGTTGGGTTTTTTTGTCAAAACAAGTACTCTTCGTCCGAACGTACACCCCGCTCCGAACCAGACCATTTCGGCTATTTCGGAGTCGAGTGATGCCGGGAGCCTGGCAAGGTTCGTTGAGGTTGAGACTTTGGATCCTCATCCTTGAGCAAAAGCCTTAAGAAACCGTGAACTCACCAGGGTGAGAAAGCATCGATGTTCTCGGATTCTTATCTGGCGGTTTCGGAGTTCCCTGTTTTGGTGGCTTTCAGGTTCGGTGTTTCGATCTTCGGACTTCGGGATTTGGGGTCGGCTTAAACTGAAGCTTCTGTGTGTCAAAAGCACCAGAAGCGAAAGCTTAAGCCCTGCAACAGCATAAACACTACAGTCTTCTTCGTCATCAGCACCACCTTCTGCATGTTTCCTCAGTATCGTTAACCCCATCGAGAGGATGCACCTTATCGGCATACTCATCCAGTTTCCGCTCCTCCTCTCCTCCATCTTTCCCAGCATATACTTCGTCATCTATAACAGCATCATCGCCAACATCATCATCCTGGGCATCATCGTCAGCATGATACCTAATGTTACTCATCATTGTTTCAATAATGCCAGCAGTGCCCAGGCGTATCCTCGACTTCGTGAGCAAGGGTGGGATGTCTTCCAGAGCCAGAGGAAGTACTGTAGGGGCCTCAATAATTACTAACACTATTTTCGGGGTTCCTCATTATGGTTATAGTATAAAAATAGTTACTAACACTATTTGGGGGTTCCTTATTATGATTATAGTATAATGGATTAAGGCCCCTACATTACTGAGTGGTTCCCTTCCCATCCTCCCCCGATCTCGTCGGGGCCGACCTGGAGTGCGTGGCCTGGCCGTTGACTGGCATGACTATAACCATAGTATAATGGCCCCAAAACCCCTATATTAGGGTTTATGTAGGGTAAAGGCGGTAGCCGCTATAACGTTGAGCCACTGGTAGCACTCATGCCTTTATACATTTATAAGTCTACTTACTACGCCACATGAACCCCCAAGTAGTCCACCACAGAGAGACTTGACTAGACCAGGGATCTTCACCTGAGATGCCGCATTGAAAGGAAGCTCGCTTCAAAGGGTCTTCTGTCAGACACGCCGAGTGCTGCAGTGCGCTCCCTGGCCTCGGCCTCAACAGTGTCCGGGGCCAACATGCCTGCATGCCGTTAATATTGAACTGACGGAGGTCATCGTTGTGCTCTGGGCGTGGGCATCGTTGTACTCTAAGCATGATGGAAGTATTTGGGAGCAGCAGAAGGCATCAATGACTTTCCGAAAAATCCTGGACACCATTTCCTGGGTTCTTGTTAAAGGGTTTAATATAAGTTACCATTATAAGGAAACCTTATTATTTACTATCGACCCATATTATGGTAACTTAAATTAAACCCCTTAACAGGAGCCCAGTTTCCAGAGCGATATCTCCTCTTTGCTGCACACGAGCCACTCTGTCTCGGGCCGGTAGCCCTTTGATCACTCGGCCCGTCTGACACCGCTTGATGCGAGGTATCCCTAGTCCAGTAGAGGGCGGCTAAACCTGGGATCTTGTGTGAGATGCCTCATTGAAAACAAGCTCTTCAAAGGGTCTTCAGCTTTCAGAGGCATCAAGCGTTGCTCAGCGCCTCCACGCGCCAAGATTTTCCTAGCTGCGCATTTGAAGCGAAAATGCGTGGACTTGCCGAGGACTTGTTATCTTCAGAGGGTTCCGCGGGCTCACAGTACATAAGTTTTCAGGGCTCTGTGCCCCGAAGCCTGAACCTTGAACTGTGCATCCGCTTTTTTGCAAGGGTTGCAGTTTTCCAGCATTGCGCCGCTGCGCATACCCAGCTTGTGCATCGCTTCTTTACCAGGCAGCAGACACTCTGTAAGCTCCCCAGACTTCTCTCACCAGCCTATACCAGCCTTTTTTTTGGTTTCTTGCGGCGCACCGGCCGGGAAGAGGTTGTTGTAGCGTAGGCGCAGCCTGTGCATTGGATCCGTTTGGGCGTATTGCCACTTCAAGGCTTCAAGCTGAACTGTCAACAGTTACGGTTACAGCTTGGGTTTGGGGCTTGATAGGTTAAGATGAATCAAACTCGAAAACCCTGCAGCGATGTCCCAAACCCTCAGACCCCAAACCTCTAAAGATTTCCGCGAAGATTGAGCCCCCCGCACTTTTCGTAGCGAACTGCCGCCCTGAAGCTATGGAAGCTTGATGCCGGCAGCAGCATGGAAAGACCTTCCAATTTCAGGCCGTTTAAGGGTTCCTTCAAAGGAGATGATAGAAGGTTTTTTAGAGGGCCTCAATAATACGGTTCATGGTCGCTTTGGAACTGAACTGAGCAGGAGTCCTCTGCTGAGCTTCGGCACATGGACAGGGCAAGCTTCTTGTCAGAGGGTGGCTCCAGCGGCGACGGGGCGGAAGCAGACAACCATCAGAAGGCAGAGGAGGACACGAGCCAGAAATCACAGTCCTCGCGGGAGCCGCATGACCAGCCTCGGAGAAAGGTGAAAAGGCAGGATTTGCAGACGCGTGCAAGCAGCTCTAGCGTTGCAAAAGCATCGCATCGAACAGCTGGAGGCCCAAAGGGCAAGTCCAAGGCCTCCATTGCAGAGGAGCCAAAGGGAGCTACAAGCAACTTGGCAAAGGTTCGGAATGCTGTTGAGGCCAAAAGTATCACATCTACATTATTCTCGAAGTCGGCGAAGTCGGGAGTGTCGAGCTCTGCAGCTGCTCAGCGGTTCTTCAAACAGGAAGCCGAGCAACACATGCAGCGAATGGAGTTCTCGTGCCGAACTGAGGACATCACGTGTCAAAGTGGCATGTCTTTGTCCAAGGGAGAAGTAGAGTTCGTAGATTTCGGAACAGGGGGCCATCGCGCTCACTACATCATTGCACCTCGTGATATGGAAGACGCAGATGACATCCTACGATGGATGTTCATTCGGCCAGATGGATGGAGACTGAAGCCACCCAACCTTTTGCTTTCGTGCTACGGTGGAAGAGATCACTACGTGAATTGGGCTCAGTCGAAAACTCTGCTGAATCGAGAGGCTTGGGAGAATCACACAGTTTCCGGTGATGCGCAGTCCAGCGGGGCAAGAAGGTCCCATCTAAAGCAAAAGGTGGACAGGGCAGGAGCGATTGGGCGGCTCAGGCATACGATGGCAGACTTTGAGTTCAACAAAAAGTTTACCAGTAGACTGGCAGAGATTTCCGCCGGTGTTTGCCAAGCTGTTACAGAGTGTGGAGGATGGTTTGATCTCGGCAGGGGCCAACGAGGAGGCTTGAATGAAGTCTTGATGGATGGGCTGAAAGTCTACTGGTCTGCGTTTGGCTGCCTTGCTGGCCACAAAGATGGATCTGTCGTGTTTTGTGTCCGCTTTCTACATGATACGGCATTCAAGGAGCAGTTCGTTGAGTGCTCCGTACCTACTTCGGCATCGGATGACTCCGGCAAGCTTCTGAAGCGCGTCATATATCCATCCGTGAACGAGCAACTATTCCCTGAGCTCGGAAGAGAAACTGATGACACGGCCGACGAACAAGACTTGAGCGGTTTCGGCGAGCCAGAGACTGCTGAAAGTTGCGACAGCACGTTGCGCTTGGATCAAGAGGTTCGTGCCCATATATCACAACGATTCCTCTGCAATGCCCTCACGCACATAATTTTTGTGCAGAACCAGCAAACACTGGACAGGCTCCGAAGCAAGCTGCGCTCTTTGGCCACGCGCGCAACCATTTTTGCAAATGGCAACAAGTCCCTCATCCAGCCAGGTGTCGACGGGAAGATCTTGATGGAAGCCATGGCCGGTGTTCCAGTGGTTTGTCTTCACAACACAGGCTGGTGTTTCCGAGAGTCATGTAGGTTCGCAGGGCATGCTCATATAATACTAATAGGGTTCGACTCTACTCCGTTGGGTTCTCCAAGACGCAGCATGTTGCCAGGTGGTGCAGCTGAGATGCTGGGGGCTTCTGTGCTGCAGAGGCGCCAACCAACCCTTCACCTGGATAAGTTTGGGTATAACTATGAGCTGCCTGAGCATGTCCCTGATGACCAGTTTCTCATCCTGAACCCTGCTAAAGACTCTGTCGAAAAAGTCATCAACAAACTGACTCTCGTGCTGTCCACTGTTCAAGATGATGAGATGATGGAAGTTGGCTTCGCCAAGAGCGAAGAGAATCGGCTGCGCTATGCCTGGGAGCAGCATTTGTTGTTTGCCCACAATGCGGCCATCTTCCGACGGAAAGCCAGATTTTTGCACTACATCGCCATGCTGCTTTCGGTCATCGTGACCGTTGTGGCTGTCCTTTATCAAGAAAGCAAGAAAGCAGCTGACGGGCCCTTGCAAGAAGCAGAACTTAAAGTAGCTTTGCTTGTCTTGCCCTGTGTCAGCGCGTTCGTCTTGAGCTCCATCAGTCGTTTGAGCCCGGTAAACAAATGGGCTGCGTTGGAAAGCGGGTCTGTGCACATGAAGAGTGAGATCTATCAGTATCGGTGTCGTGTGCTGGACTACCAGCCCCGCAAAGCCAGCAACATGGATATTGAAGATCGCGTCGCGGATCTGTGCGATCACCAGACAGGTGGCGCGGCAGACGATGCCGCTGCTGCGTCGGAGGCATCCAGAAGAAGACGAAACAAAGCCAAAGCATCCGTGGCAAACAAGATGAGTAGGCGAGGTGCTTTCGCAGCAACGTTGGAGCAGATCAACTCCGATGCTATTGGCTCGGACGTGCGGTCTGACTATCTCCAAATGCCGCCAAGTTATGCCATGAACGAACTCCTTGCGAATCTGTATGACTGGAACCATGTATGTGCATCCTATCAGAGGCGCAACAGCTCATACCGTGCTTGCTGTTGGCAGATGCTTCATAATTTCTGCCGCTGCTCAAGTCGTCACGATCACGTAGAATTCAGTGAGACGGACAATCCATGGAGCAAAACTGGTGGTGACTTTTATCAAAATCCGAATGTTATCGAGGATGACTTTCTAAAGGACGACGGATTAGCATTGGTCACAGCCGAGGACTACATCCACTTCCGTTTCTTGCCCATGCTGCAGTACTACACTTGGCGCAGCCGAGTTCTTTCTAGAATGGTGCAAGCTATTCAGGTGACTATCTTTTTCTTGACAGGGGTGCTGGCAGCTGCAGGCCCGCTTGGGTTTGATGCATGGATACCCGTGGTTGTGTCATTCATTTCATTCCTCACTGGCATTCTGGAGTTTGAGGCTTTATCATCGCAGCTCCGCAATGTAAATCAATCGCTGGAGTCTCTGAAGAACCTTCACTTCTGGTGGCAGAGCCTGTCCATGGTGGAGCGGAGAATGCCGTCCAACAAGAATGAGTTAGTTGCGTTAACCGAGGCAACAGCAGATAGCGAGATCTCTGCTTGGAAGAAGACCCTGAAAATCAAGAGTGCGAGGTCAGCGAACGCCGGAGATGAGAAGGAGGAGGATGCAGCCGATCGTCGGAAAGAAGACGACTGAGATCATCTTTTTTGATGCCGATCGCGTAGCTGAGAGCTTGATCGCCTCGGCGAAGCAGCCACGTTGCTCAGTGAAAGTGCCAGAGCTGGACAGCCATCCGGACCCCACCCAGTCAAGGCATCTTTGTCTGCTTAGGCAAAATTCTCCGGCGTGGCTTGACTCTACTGTCGCATGTGAGTGGGTGTTCAAGCGGGTGTGTGTGTGTGTGTCTGTGGCATGGAAGCCCATGTTTGCTGCAGTCTTCAGGCGTGTGTTGAGTAGTGTATAATTGCACTGCATGTTCTGTCGGTATCGCGACTTATTCTGGGCAGAATGGTTTGACATTTCCGTGGTCACCAGTCACAGTTTTCCTGAGCTGGTTGTGGCACTCTTGCGGTGATCTTAGACCCGCTTCGTGAATTACGAGGATTTGTTGAGGTTAAAGCGCCTTAACCGACCAGGCAGTAGACAGGCCGCAAACTCCTCAAACTTCTCTCACCAGCAACTTGAATTCTCCGGGCGCACTGGCCGGGAAGCGGTTTCTTGCTGCTTGACGTGTAGGTGACGGGTGCGCAGACGGTGGCTGAGAATCGGAAGCCGTTCTGCCTGCCATTGAGGCCTCAAGCCTTCGCAACTAAGTAGCCATGTCTCAAGCGCTCGTCTATGCCGTCTCGGTGGCCCTCACAGCTCTGATCCAGCTTTCAGGAGTAGCTCTTGGTCTTTCACTGCCCTGGGGTTTGGGCTCGAGATTTTGGGTTCAGGGTTTTGAGGGTTCAGTGTTTGGGGTTAAGGTGTCTTGGCCAGTGATTGCGACCCACTGCGCATCGTCTGACTGGGCCACCCTGCTTGGAGGTTCATGGGTAGTTGTTCGTGGGGTCATAAGTCGCCGAATATGGGTTATAATCATAGTTACCTTACTTGTATCTCCACTTATAGCTTCCTCCGAACCTCCAAGTGTTGCATGCAGGATTTGCTGTGGCCTTTGCGCTTCAGACCGAGGCCGGTGAGGGGTTCAGGGTTTAATATGGGGGCCAGAAAAATTACCGATACTACTTTGGGGGCTCCTTACCATAATTATAGCATAATGGGCCCCTAAAGCTTATTCTGATTATTACGGCCCTCTCAACCTCAGAGCTTGCTAGACTCATAAAGTCACAAAGGGGTATCCCAGCGCAAGACTCAAGATGGACTTTATTTCCCAGCGTATCTGTTATCTTATGCCATCTTCTCTAACGCTCCACTGTGCTCTACTCTAAAGGGAACTCCAGAAAGTTGGAACATGGCTTTAGGAGGATTAGGGCTAGGATCCCTTATACTTTACCTTAAGGGCATGAGGAGTCTGATGTTCCAACTTTCTGGCTTCTACTATACTCTACTCTACTTCTATTCTCCTCTGCTCTGCTCTGCTCTGTTCTGCTCTGCGCTGCTCTGCTCCGGTCTTCTCTGCTCTGCGCTTCGATTCTGTATCACTTTTCTTGCTGTGGATGGACAAAATCCTGCATGACCTTCAGGACCCTAAACTATGGGAATTATGGTGTATTCCTTATAATGGGTAATTAATGCAGGATTTTGTCCATCAGCCGTATTACTCTAGAGTATCAGTACCACTGTTCTTTTGTGATTTTGTGTTGTATTACATTCCTCCAATGCGCAGAGCTTCCCCGGCACGAGGACTTAGCCTGGACCCAAAGGCCTTACCAGGGTTTAGGGTTTAGGGTTTTTGGGTTTAGGGTTTAGGGTTTAGGGTGTTCTTTAAAACTTGACACCCTGTTTTAGGCCCGTACCCCTTAACCCCAAACCCTGCAGACATTCTGGCACCTAAGCCCCGAACCCTCAAATAAATACCGAAACTATTTCTGGGGTTCCTTACAAAAGGCTCCAGAACCCTATTCTATTAAGGCCCCTACATTACAGCAGCAATCCCTGATGCCCGAACCCTTACCCAGATCCTCGGGAGAGGTTTTCTACGACATCCTTGGTGGCAGCAACTTCCTTGCTCTGGCTGCCTGGTTTTGGCCCCGGAAATCCACCCTGAGATGCCCCAACACAGGCTGAGGAACCCCAATACCCCCGTCTAGGATTTCAGGGTTCAGGGTTGAGGATTAAACCCTAAACCTCCCTACACCCCCCCCTCCCGTGCCTAAAATCCTAAAGCCGAAAGCTGTTGGGGGTTAGCGGTTTGGCTTTCGTCCTGGAGGCGGATCTCCCGAAACCCACACCGGAGTGGAATGACATACTCGGTACGTGGTTAAGGCATAGTGGTTGACACAGCCGCTCGAAGCGCCAATGGCACAATCACCGTTGTTGCTGTTGTTGGGCTGATTTGCATGATGAAAAATACCTGCTGCCATTACTGATGCACTTATTCTCTCATGCTTCCTAAACCCTAAGCCCTAAACCTGATATCATCGTCATTCGATGATCTGCCTTATGCCCCCAAGCTGGAGGCTTCCGTCGCACATCCGGCCCTTTGCCCTAGGCACCGTCAACATCAGCCCTAGTAACTCCTAAGCCTAAGTTTAAACCCTAAAATCCCGAAGCCAGTACTCCCAACCCTAAACCCTAAACCCTACATCCTAAACCCTAAACCCTAAATCCTAAACCCTGAACCCTAACCCTAAACCACCCTAGACCCTATATCAAACCCGGAGCCCCTCACCCTGCACCCGCCCCCGAGTTCAGGTCATCCTGGTGTAGCACGTCCTGGCTCAGCAGTCCGAGGCATCCTGGTGTCTGGTCTGGTCTGGTACTTAAAGGATCATGGGACTTAGGAACTAGGGCTCCTTAAAGGGCTCCTTAAAGGGATCTATAAGGTTTCTATAATAAGCGGGGTTTAGGGGTACTTAAAGGATCATGGGACTTAGTAGCTAGGGTTATAATTAGGTTAACTATACTTATAACTACTTAAAACCCTACTTAATTAAGGTACTTATAACCTTACTTGCTAAGTCCCATGATCTTCCAAGTAGTGCAGGGCAGCGGAGCGTAGAATGGAATTAGACCTGCAGGTCGGAGTCCTGTATTCAGGGTCTCTGGTTAGCTCCGGGTTTGCTTTGTTTCGTGAGGTCGGAGTCTTGTGTCCTGGGTTGTTGCTTGCTTTGGCTCGCTCTGTCACAACCGGTCGAACTGCCCTGTCCTGCGTTCTTGTGGGTTCTGGGTCGTTTTGTCGTCTCATGCAGTCAGAGTCCTGTGTCCTGAGCCCTTTGTTCAATCTTGGATCTCCCTCGAAATTTTGTATTTTGTACTGCAGACTTTGCAAATTTCGGGGACAATGTAAGTTTGTAACGCCAACGTCCACCCTTGAATCATTGTATCTTTGTATGGTAGACTGAGCAAATTTCACGGACACTGTAAGTTTGTAACGAAAACATCCACTTGTTTTTTTTTTTTTAAATTTTGGTATGGTAGACGTTGCAAATTTCAAAGACACTGTAAGTTTGTAACGCCAACGTCCGCCCTTGAATTTTTGTTTCTTTGTATAGTAGTCTGCGCAAACTTCAAGAGCACTGTAAGTCTTTACGCTAATGTCCACCCTTGAGTTGTTGTATCTTTGTATGGTAGACTTTGCAAAGTTTCGTGGACACTGTAAGATTGTGACGCCAACGTCCACCCATGAACTTTGGTATCTTTGCACGGCAGACTTTGCAAATTTGACGGACACTGTAAGTTCGTAACGCCAACATCCACCCTTGAATTTTGCAATCTTTGTATGGTAGACTTTGCAAATTTCAACGGCACTGTCATTTTGTAACGCCAACGTCTACCCTTGAATTTGTGAATCCTCGTATAATGTTCTGAGCCAATTTCATGGACACTGTAAGTTTGCAATGCCAGCGTCCACCCTTGCATTTTTGCAAATTTCAATTTACACTCCAAGTTTGTAAAGCCAACGTCCACCCTTGAATTATTGTATCTTTGTATGGTAGACTGAGCAAACTTCATGGACACAGCAAGTTTGTAACGCCAATGTCCATCCTTGAACTATTGTATCTTTGTACGGTGTTGTTTGCAAAGTTCAACTTCCATTCTAAGCTTGTGACGCCAACGTCCACCCTTGAGTATTTTTGTATCTTTGTATGGTATTACCCTGGAAACTGCAAGTTTGCAACGCCAACGTCCACTCTTGAGTTTCTTTTTGTGAAGACTGAGTTTCGCCTTCGTTGGCTCTTGCCCAAAGAGTGTGTGCTGCCCTTTGGCTCACCCTGTGGCCAAAGGGCCCTTGAGCTTACTTGGTAGCGGCCGGAGAAAGGTAGGGTCGGCTGCCTGGGGGTCAGGGTTTCCCCTTTAGCACTACCCTAGCTTTTGCAGTGGTAGCGGAGCAGAGTTCACGGTACGGTACTTTTGGGTTGTGGGCTTGGGTTGTAGGTAGAGGCGCCGATCCTCCCTCCCTGAGCCATAGCCTTCCGCGCCTTCCATATCCGCGCCTGAGAGCCTCCCGGAATCCCGGTGGAAGGCGGCGCTGGACGACATCTTCTACGTGGACACGGACCTGCCTTGGCAAACCCATTGCCTGGATCCTCCCGGAACTGCCGGTGGAGTGATCCCTTGGGTTGCTGAGGACAACACCCCCTCCACAGCGAGCGCTGTGTGACTGGGCGGGTGCCTGGACTACTTCGTCTTCTTCTTCTACCACCTGACCACCTTCCACTCCCACTTCAACCTCCCTTTTCACTTCCCTTCCACTTCAACTTCCACTTCGTGGTGCAACCGGCGAGGGGCTTGCCGGACACCGCCAGGAACCACGCCGCCTGCGGAGGAACCCGAGGCGGGTGGCCGGCGACGGGGCAAACCGAAGACTGCCAAGCAGAAGGAAAGAGACAAGCAGAGGCAGATCGACTACCAGGCCGCGAAACGTACCGCAGCGGCAAAGGTACAGCCTGGTGGGAAAGGAAAGGCAAAGGGAAAGAACAAAGGAAAGAAGGGCGAAAGGGACAAAGGCAAAGGAAAGAGACAAGGAAAAGAAAGAGAGGGCCGGCCGAGGAAAAGGCAGCGGAACCGCCGGGGAGACGGCCGGCGGAGAGGGGACAGCCGTTCCCCGCCCTCGCCCCGCACTCCGGCGGAGAGGCGAGAGGACCTGCGGCCGAGTCCGGAGGAAGAGCGCGAGATCAGCAGATCCCGCTCGCCGCGGACAAGGGGCCAGAGGAGGTCTTGGTGGCACAAGCCCGGGGAGACTCCGCCTTCGTCTCCGGAGAGAGCGAGTGGCAGCGCGAGGCCCCGGACGCCGGTAAGGAAGCCGAAGGTAGAGGCCGACGAAAAGGGGCGTGCCTTGCCAAGGTCGGTTCCGAAGGGGAGGCCACCGCAGAGGCCGTATCCTCTGAAGAAGGAGCCCGCTGTTAAGGCCAAGCCGCAGGACCCGCGCGAGCTGGCCCAGCCTGTGGAGCCTGCGGAGGAGCCGCAGGAGCCTGCGGAAGAGCCGCAGGCAGAGGCTTCCTCTGCGAGCAGAGGGTTCCCGGAGCTTGACGTCGGCACCTATCCAAAGGAGGAGGTAGAGGTCGAGGTCAAAGCGGAGGAGGGCCCAGCAGAGGAGGCGCCAGGGGAGAGGTCTCAGCCATCCGTGCCACGCCCATCGGCACAGGAGGACTCGTACACGTACGAGGAGCAAGAGGAGACCGAGGAGGAGCCTCTGAAAAAGGACCCGCCGCAGGAGGTGCCGCCGCGGGTGGAGGAAGTCCCAAAGGAAAAAGCCCGAGGAAAGAAAGAGAAGGAGGAGAAAGCCCCGAAAGAGAGGAAGAAGAAAGAGAAAGAGAAAGAGAAAGAGAAAAAGGCCCCAAAGAAGAAGGAGCGAGAGGAAAAAGCCCCAAAGGACAAAGAGAAAAGAAGGAAGGAGAAGAGTAGAAAGGACAAGGACCGGGACAGAGACCGGCGAAGAAGGAAAGAGGAGGAGAAAAAGGAAGGAAAGGCCCCAAAGGAGGAGGAAAAGGAAAGGACAGCCCCAAAGGAAAAGGAAAGCGAGGCCCCAGAGGAGAAGCAAAAGGCCCCCCAAAAACCGGGCGAAGTAGCCCCGGAGAGGGCTGAGCCGCCAAAGAAGGCGGATCCCGGTCGTGGGCAGACCGAGGAACCGCGAGAGGAGGCTCAGCAGGAGCGTGCTCGCGGAAGCACCGAGGCCGAGGAGCCTGTGAGGCCACCTCCGGGTGGAGCAGTCAGCCCGCCAAAGTTCTTTGTCGACTTTCCGTACGGGCGCTGCAGCTTCCCACCGCCAGCCGGGTGGTGTGATACCGCGGAGGGGCGTGTGCGCCGAGAGGTGGTTGGACAGCGGAAGCTCCAGCTTGCCTTCGGCAGCGTGGGCAGGCAGGCCAGGGGGAAACCGCCCCAGGAAGGGGCAGGAACCGCCCAGAAGGGCTGGAGAAAAGGGGCAAAACAGGGGCAAAAGTCTTCGAAAACAACCTTCCACAACCAACTTCCACCTTCAACCTCCACCTTCACCCCACTTTCTACCTACCACACCCTTTCGTGAACGAGGTCTTTTCGAGAACGAGGTCTCTTCGACTACGAGCACGGCTCTTCAAGGACTGCTTCCGGGAGGAAGCCCGACGACTACAAGGACCCTCGGTGAAGCCAATTCGCCGAGATGGGGGACGAGTCCCGGCAGGATTCGTTCAACTCTTATATCCCCATATGGGACGGCAATGCGGGGTCGATGCGCAAGTTCAAGAAATCCGTGACGTTGTGGCTGGCAGGCCTGGACTTGGAGCGCACGGCGTCGTACAACTTAGCCGCCCGTTTTCTTCTTCGGCAGACCGGCGCCGCAAGGGCGCGTGGTGAGGAAGAAGATATAGATACGTTGGCTCACCGACCGGCGGTGGCTGACGTCGTGGGGACGGAGATCCAGGCTGCCGACTACACGCACGGTGTGTGGCACCTGGTGAAGTGTTTCGAGGAGCTGTGTGGGAAGACAGCTTCCGAAAAGCGAGGAGAGCTCCGGCAGAAGCTCTATGTGAGCTTGCGCCGCGGCCCCAGTGAGCCGGTCACGAACTTTGCGTCGACCTGGAGAACACTGGTAGCCGAATGCATTGCCGAAGGCATCCCGGTGACCCCTGTCGAGTCTGGATGGCTCTTCAAGGAGAGGCTTGCCCTTACGGAAATGCAGCGGCAGGTGGTGGAGACCGCCACCGGCGAGGAACCGGAGTTCGCCGTGGTGGAAAGAGAGGTGCTGCGACTCTTCCGAAGGGTGCACCTCACACGGAGTGAGGCGGCCGGTGGAAGCCACCTTCGCTCCTGGCGCCAGGCCCCCTCGAGGCCTAGGACGGTGCGACGGCTTCAGGTAGCACTTCGCGTTTCAGGCGCTCGTTCAACCGCTCCCGAACTCCCGGTCAGGGCCCTTCCCAGGCCTTTGTGACCGAGGAACGCTACGAGGACGAGACGGAGGAGTATGAAGACGAGCCTGAAGGAGAGACTGAAGCGTACGAGACAGCAGCTGAGGAAGAGGACGGCGGTGAAGCAGCCGCCGACGAGCTCGAGACCGAGCTAGAGGCGATGGCCGCAGCACTGGATGAAGGAGACGACCTGCCGCCAGAGGTGGCGGAAGAAGCGGCCGCGCATCTGGAGAATGCGGGGGAAGCTTTGGTGACCCTGCGGGAAGCAAGGCGGCAGATCGCCGCCATCCGCAAGGACCGTGGGTACAAAGCCCCCGGAGCCGTCGGCAGCGCCGGCGGAGGAGGACGTGGAACCGCGCCCGGGAAGGGCGCCGGCAGAGGAGTGTGCCACAACTGTGGTCAAGCAGGCCACTGAAGGCAAAAGGGGGTGGTGGCAGAGGCCGTGGCAGGCCACAGCAGCCAAGCGGCAGCCAGAGCCCTGGCAAGCCGAGCCCAAGCAAAGGTGGCCGCTCTCCCAAGCACGTCCACTACACGGAGACTGAAGCCAACGTGGTGGACTTCATGGACCATGGTGCCAGCGTAGAAGTGGATGAGTTTGAGGTGATGATGACGCTGGCGGAGGCACTTGAGGTGTCGAGCCTCCCGAAGAGGGGCTCCCCACCCACGTTGCTGGGCGCCATGGACTCGGCGTGCAACCGGACCTGTGCCGGACCGGAGTGGATCAAGCAAGCTTTGGCAGCTATCCCTCCGGAGTACCTCAGCTTGGTCGTGGAAAACCACGAAGCTGAGAGGTTCAGGTTCGGCAACAACCAGACACTGGTGAGCAGCAGGAGGGTGCGTATCCCTTGCTGTCTGGAAGGACAGGTGATGCTGCTCTGGGTTTCGGACGTGCCAAACCCGAAGCTTGGCTGTCTGGTGGGCCGAGACTGCATGGAGGCACTTGGCGCTGTGTTGGACTTCGAGGACCACATGGCCCGGTTCAAGACCTTGGGTCTGGGACCTCTGAGGCTGCCCCAGCTGAGGGCTGGACACCTGGGTCTCCCTCTTTTCCCGAAGGCAGGTTGGCCAGCGGTCGGAGGCCTTCGCTCCTTTAAGCCGCTAGGCAGAAACGGTGTGGTCGAGCTACAGCTCGGCTTCGGAGCGTGGATGCGTCTGCGCACAAAGGCGGCTTGGCAGCTGATGCTTACGGTGTCTGAGTCGTTTGTGTCAGAGCAGGCTGTGGTTGACTCGAGGGCTGCACTCACGTCGACGAGCGTCCCAGTGAGCAAGCCTACCTCCAAACCCGCAGCCGTTTTGCTCGAGAGCCCCAAGACGACGCAGACCCCTAGTGTGAGCCATGCTCCGCGACCTGGGTCGCAGGTCCGTCGGAAAATGGCGAAGAATGGTGGTGCGTTTGCGCGAGCGTTTGGCCTGGCACTGGCAGGGCTTACTGCTGTGGCTGGTGCGCATGCCTCAACTGCGCTTCGCCCCCTTCCCGTGGAAGTCGGTAACCGGCCCGACGGAATGGCAAGAACAGTCCGAGGGCATGGTGCGACGAGGAGCGTGCACACCCGCGCTGTGGAGAACCGCGTGTTCTCAGGAGTGAGTGAGGAACAAGTGCGGTTTGGCGTTTGCCTTCCTCGAGGACGAGATCGTGCTAGAAGGGCTGAGGGCTCTAAAGGCACCGAAAGGAGTGCGCTCGAGGTTGCAGCGAATGCAGCTGGAGGAAGCCAAGAAGGCACAAAGCGAAGTGAAGGAGGTGCGCGAGGAGCGCATGCGGGCGCTGTTGGGGCCAAGGGGAGGCCTACCGCGCCTGCGAGCCGAGTTGCTCGAGCTGGCGGTGCTGTTGCGGGTGGACATCGAGGAGAAGGACACTGTGGAAACGATCCGCAAAAAGGTGACGCCGGTGGCCCGCGCAATCGCGCTGCCGCCTCCACCGTCACAGGCCAGCTCAAGCTCGGAAGTAACGCGGCCAAAAGCTCCCTCCAGGACCGCAGGACCGATGGGGTCGGGTTCGGACTTCGGGCCACCAACCCGCCTGGCCGCTCCACCCATGGAGGAGGAGACGGTGCCATCGGACGACAGCTTCAGAATGATCACGTCGGAGGAGCTGGCCGCACAGATGGCCGGCTTGGACGCCTACATGGCGCCCTGAAGCCTGGACTGAAGCAGGTCGTGGCACAGGCCACGGCCAAGGCGCTGCGGCAGGCCAGTGCGTCGGCCTCGCCGGCAGCAGTGCATGAAGCACTCCAAGTGCTAGCGAATGCAGAGGAGGCAGCTGCATTCCACGACTGCTTTGTGCAAGCAGCTGATTCGGAAGTCGCTGCTCATTTTGAGCGGCGTGGGCACGGAACCCGTGCTTACTGTCCGGATGCCTACGGCCACGTCGGCGTATTCCGTGCCAAACGCGGCGCGGTGGACCGTCAAGCGCTCGAGAACTGGATGGTTGGTGCTGCCAGTCTGCGAGCGGAGGACCGGCCGGTTGTACTTTGTCTGGTTGGCCCGGCGCAAACCTGGCGCAAGGCGGTGCAACCATGGCTCGGGCCAGACCTGGGTCTGGAAGCCGTTGGTACCGCAGGTCTTGTCCTTAGCAACCTGCCGGCCGTCCTGGATGGTGCCCGCGATGGGCGCTATGCCACCTTCTGGCACCTTCGACGTGCCCTTCCGCGACTTTTCGAGCGACGTTTCGACTCCTTTCACTCTACCCTGGCCGTCGACCAACAAAACAATTTAGATGGGGGTGAGAGTCGTGCGTTCGAAAACTCGCCGGACACTGCAGGGGAACCGCCTGCTGGAGGCCTACCGTTTCCCTTTCGTGCGGTCGAAAACTCACCGGACACTGCAGGGGAACCGCTGGAAGGTCAGGAAGAGCAGGAGGAAATGGACGCCCTGGTCAAGGACGCGCCTAAGCCGACGAAGGAGATCGTGCAGGCCGTGGCAAAGCTTCACCGGAACACGGGCCATGTCTCCAAGCGAAGACTGGCCAGAGCTTTGGCTGTTTCCGGGGCCCCGCCCGTGGTTATCAGAGCCGCTCTGGAGCTTCGTTGCGAGATTTGTGCCGAGGAGGCACGGCCGAAGACGCGGATGCCCGCGAGCCTTCCAAGGGCTTCGCACTTTGGAGACCGGGTGCATGGTGACTTGTTCAGCTTCAAGGACGGAGCTGGACAAACTCGGTGGGTGGCCCACTGGGTGGACGTGGCAACGCGCTACCAGGCGTGTTCCCTTCTCCGAAGCAAAACTGCTCAGGAGGTCGGTGCCACTCTTGCAGAGTGGACGCGGATCTTCGGAGCGCCCAAGACGCTGGTGGTGGATATGGGACCGGAGTTCGTGGCTGAGTCCTTCCAGGACCTCTGTGACTTCTACGACACGGTTCTACACCATATACCGGTCGAGGCGCCTTGGAGAAACGGCGTGGCCGAGCGAGCAGGAGCTTCTACTAAAGCGGTGCTTCAGAGGCTGGTGAAGGAGTACCTGCCGGTGACTGAGGTTGATGTGTCTCAGGTTGTGACCGCCGCGGCGGGCGCATACAATGACGACATCAACGACTCGGGCTACTCGCCTTCCCAGGCAGTCTTTGGACGACAGCCCAAGAGCTTTGCAGACTGCTTAGACCCGGGTCTGGCCCAGACGGCGCTGACCAACGAGCCTTCGTTCTGCCGGGCCTTGGCGATCCGGGAAACCGCGAGAGTGGCTATGCTTCGGCTGCACTACTCGCAGGCGATGAGCAAGGCCTTGCTGGCCCGCTCAAGAGCCCCACACCCTGAGCACTACAATGCGGGTGACGTGGTGTACTTTTACCGGCGACAGAAGTCGAAGCCTGGAAAGAAGCTGCAGCTGAAGGCTTGGCATGGGCCAGCCTTGGTCGTGGCCATGGAAGGGCCCGACGAGAACCAGCTGAGCGCCCACATAGCGCACCGGGGCAACGTGATGAAGGTTGCCATTCAGCACCTGCGGAAGGCCTCAGCCCTGGAAAGGCTGGCGGCCACTGACTGGGCCCCTGCCCTGCAGACCGTGCTCAACGAGGTGACAGACGCCCCGGAGCCGGTGCCTACGGAGACAACCGCGGACCCCGCGGACACACCTGCGGAGGAAGTTCCCGCCGGTAATGAGTCAGGACCGTCGCCAGTGGTGGTAGTGGTCCCCGGCCCCGGTGGAGGAAGCCAACCTTCCTTGAGCCTGCCCCCAGGTTCGAGAAGGCCCTCGTTGTCGTCACTGGCGCCGTGGGAAAAGGAGTCGCACAGTGTCTACCCACGAGTTTGTGAGGAGCGACCCGCTTCGAAAGCCAAACCCCTCGGGGAGCCTGTGGTGGGCGAACCGATGGATGGTACATCCGAGGCCTTGGGCCTACGTGAAGCTGCTGTGGAAAGCGCGGCGCCCAGTGCGCCGGAACTGGTTCCCATACTAGAGGAAACCGTGGGAGAGAGCCCGGAAGCCCAGAGCTCTCCTGTGGACGAGTCGACCTCGGCTCCTGTGAGCCCCTTTGACCACCCTTTGGTGAGGCTCATGGAACAGGTGGTGGAGGACCGCCACACTGGGTATGAGGACATGCGCTGTGGCACGTGGGACGGACGCTGGCCCACGCCCAGCGAGGTCCAAAGGAAGCGGCTACAAGCCACCGGGGATCTCATGACCCTTCCGGTGGAGAGTGAGGCCTGCCTCGCTTCTGCGGGGAAGGAGATCACCTGGAGCCGCCTGGACGTCAAGACCAAGGACGCTTTTCAAAAGGCAGCTGACGAGCAGTGGCAGAAGTGGACCGAAAACGGCTCAGTGCAGGAACTGAGTGTGGAGGAAAGCCGCCGTGTGCAGGCGGACCTCAAGCGGAGTGGGAAGTCCGGCGACTTGCTCACGCCTCGGTGGGTTCTGACAGACAAGAACGCGGCACTGTCAACCCCGGGGAATCCGCTTCCAGCCAAACCCTCAGCGAGACTGGTGGTGCCGGGGTTTAAGGACACGGCACACCTTGAGGGACGGCTGAGAACAGATGCCCCCACCGCCTCGAGGATCGCGATCCTGCTCTTGTGCGCGGTGGCGGCACACTTCCCGTCCTGGGAGCTGGTGTCGGCGGACGTCAGAGCTGCCTTTCTCAAAGGCGATGCTTACATGGCGGGATCCCGCACCTTGTACATGCAGCAACCAGACCGGCGGAAGGGTCCCTCTCTGCCAGGCGTGAGGTTCGGTGTGATCTTCCGCGTCCTGAAGGGAGTCTTTGGACTCGCGGATGCGCCACGGCAATGGTATTTGCGTCTGTGTCGCACTCTTCAGGAGCATGGATGGGTCAAGAGTGCACTTGATGGTGCTCTCTTTTATCTTCGTGCCCCCTCTGGCGAGCTTTTGGCTCTGATGGTGGTGCACGTGGATGACCTGCTCTTTGCCGGGTGCAAAGCGGCCCTGGAGATCCTCCGAAAGATCGGGAAGGAACTGGGATTCGGTGCGCTCTCGCACTCGGATTTCCAGTACTCAGTACTGTGGACGCCGAATCCGGCGCCTCCCGAATGGCCACGTGGAGATCAGCATGGTTGAGTACCACGAGAACCTCCACGTGCCCGTTGTCTCACGCGCCGACCGCAAGGACTTGGAGCGAGCGCTCGGTCCCAGCGAGGTCCGACGGCTGAGGACCGTCGTAGGCAGCCTGCAGTGGTTAGTCAGCCAACTGCGCTTCGACCACGGCTTCGCCTTGAGTTCTTTACAGAGCGAGCAGCCGCCCACCGTGGGAACCTTACTGAAGGCGGCGCAGCTTGCCCGGGAGCTCAAGAACGACGCCCACTTTACCCTTACGTACCGCCCGGTCGACGTGTGGAAAGGTGGACTAGTGACTGTATCGGATGCAGCGCTGGGAAACGTGAATGCCGACAAGACAGTCAAGGGGAACCTCAAGCTGTTCTCCCAGGGCTGTTACGCCGTGCTACTTGCCGACGAGGAGTTGGTGAAGGGCCGCCGTGGGGTGTTCAACCTCCTCAACTTTCGGTCGCACAAGATCGCCCGGGTCTGCCGTTCGTCTTACGCGGCGGAAACCTTGGGAGTCGAGGAAGCGCTCGACGCAGGGGAACTGTGTCGCGCGTTCCTGGCGGAAGTCCGAGGAGCGTCCCTCCTGCGGGACCGTCGGTCCGTCTACAGCGTGCCGTTGGTGGCAGTCACCGATGCCAAAGACGTGCATGACCGCTGTAGCAACGACCTTGGCTTTGGCGCCCAAAAGAGCTTGGTACTGACGTTGGCTTCGCTTCGTCAACAGCTCAGGGAGCCGAATACGGCCATGAGATGGACCCACACCGACAACTTGTTTGTCGATGGAGGTACGAAAGAGATGGATTCCGGAGCTCTGCGTACTGTGCTGTCCCGTGGGACGTGGAGTATAGAGCACGAACCGGAGTTCGTCAAGTCCAAGAAGGGCAAAAAGAAGCCGGCTCCAACGACGGAGAGTGTGGACCAGGCCCTGCCTGGAGAGCCTCTGCCAGACGGCGACCTGAAGAACTACGTCACCAGGCTAGCCCGGCAACCCGGCTGGCACTCGGAAGACGGTGTCTTGGTACAGGTGGCTGAAGGAGCTAAAAGCTTCAGATGCCCGGAGCCCCGAGCCTCAAGGCTTGCGAAGCCTCTTCGGACTACGATCGGCCTCTTCGAAGTCGGCAAGGGACAGATGCAGTGGCGTATCCTCGAGCTTGATGCTTTGTACAGTGAGGAGCCACAGCCTAATGGCAAGCTACCCCGGCCTTCTGTGACTTTGGTCACCTTCTTTCAGGGCACCTTTGGGCAACCAAAAACTTTAGACCTGTGTGAAGACTGAGTTTCGCCTTCGTTGGCTCTTGCCCAAAGAGTGTGTGCTGCCCTTTGGCTCACCCTGTGGCCAAAGGGCCCTTGAGCTTACTTGGTAGCGGCCGGAGAAAGGTAGGGTCGGCTGCCTGGGGGTCAGGGTTTCCCCTTTAGCACTACCCTAGCTTTTGCACTTTTTGTATGGTGGACTTTTCATTTTCAATGTAAAGTCTAAGTTTGTAACGCCAAACGTCCACCCTCGTTTTTTTTGGTATCGTTGTCTTGTCGACTTTGCAAGTTTCAAGGACAAAGTAAGTTTGTAGCGCCAGCATCCACCCTTGATTTTGTGTATCTTTGCATGGTAGACTTTGCAAATTTCAAGGACACTGTAAGTTCGTAACGCCAACGTCCACCCTTGAGTTTTTTTTTATCTTTGTACCGTAGACTTTACAAATCCCGAATACACACTGTAAGTTTTCAGGGCCAACGTCCACCCTGGAGTTTTGTACCTTTGCGCGGTAGACATTGCAAATTTCAAGGACACCCTAGTTTTGTAACGCCAACGTCCACCCTTGGATTTTGTATCGTTGTAGCTTAGACTTTGCAAATTTCAAAAACACTGTGCGTTTGTATCGCCAACGTCCATCCTTGAATACTTTTCGGATCTTCGTATGGTAGAACATTCGTCATTTATCGCATGAAGGTCAGTGGTAGCATCCGGAAATCATAAACGGTCTCAAATACTTGAACTTGCCTTGAACCAAATGGAAGTTTCCGAAAATAGGGGACCCTAATATAATATCCTAAATAGTAGGATCCTTATTATAAGGACCGAAAATAACGTACCCCTATTTTCGGAAACTCCCGAATCCTAGACCCCTAAACCCTAAGCCCCTAAGCTCCAAATCCCAAACCGCACAGTAGTAGTACAGCCGCAATACGGTAGTATTTCAGAAATAGTACTGTAGTTGAAATATTCGTAAAAGTGGTAGTAGTCGTACTAGTAGTCGTAGTAGTAGTAGTAGTAGCAGTAGCAGTAGCAGTAGCAGTAGCAGTAGTAGTAGTAGTAGTAGTAGTAGTAGTAGTAGTAGTAGTAGTAGTAGTAGTAGTAGTAGTCCTACACTAGTAGTACCGTAGTAGCGCACTGTTGCTTGTGTCCGGCTTGTGCAGCTTGGGCCTTCATGCCGGGGCGGTTAGGGCGGGGCAGGGAAGTCTGTAGCACCCTGGGGGAGCCGAATTTTCGCATTTTCGTTTATCCGAAATCACTTTAGACGAATTTGCAAGTGCGTTTTCGGCTTTAGTCGTTTTTCAGCTGCAAAATCCCATGTTAAGGCAAGCAAGTCCGAAACCGCGGTCGAAACAGTGCTCGCGACAATTAGTATCCTATTCTACTTGTGAAGGCCACCATGTCAGCCCCAAGTCGGTTACCAGTCGTTTGAGCCTCCAAGTAGTGTCCAGTACACGCATCCTTCTGTTGAGTGTAAGGCCTGTCGGGTTTAGGGTTTGGGGTTCAGGGTTTCGGGTCCAGGGTTTGGGGTGGTTTAGGATCGCTCCAGCCCCCATGGAGTCCAACACCTATATAGATGTCAAACTCATCCCTTGATGCCTACCCTAAACCCCCCACATTGGGGCCTGCATAACTACTGGTAGTATCAGGGAACCCGAAAAGGTCCCTATCAAGTATTGTATAACCCCAATTAATAGGATCCTTATTTTTGGCACCCCATATAAGGCACCCCTTGTTCTCGGAAACTCCCATATAGCTTTGTATAACATCCCTGAAGATGGCGTGCCAGGCAAATTATCGCCACTGTGCTCTTTGTGATCTCCCGTGGTTGGCTCCTGGTCGCAGCCTCACGCTTCGGGGTTCGAAGGGGAAGGACTGCGGGTTTAGGGTTTAGAGTTGTATGCATACTATGTCCCTTCTGTTTTTTGGGTGAGGTGTGTCTGTGCGTGACGGGGTATGGGGACTAAAGTATTGAGGGACGAAGTAGAGCCTTGTGGGTGGCTTGGTGTCATTGGGGAAAGCAGGGCCTTCTTATGTGCTTTTCTCCTCTGACAGGGTCCGACCGAACAGATGTGCACAAGAGCGTTCTCACAAAACAATTGTTCTGCATTCTCAACCCAAAATAATGAGCTTTAGGCAAAACCAACGATTTCTCACTGTTGAAAGCTTGGAGTTCATGAATCTTCGAGGCGAGCTTGCGGCCCCTGTTAGCACAATAGTCTCCGGGGTTATTCATCGATATTTTCTTGCACTTGCCGCAATCTCGAAGCTCCTCGACACGACACACTGGTAACGAGACTATTACACTATCAAGAAAAGGACTGATGTAATCTAGATGGATGATGGTACTGCCGCACCTCACCTGGCACAGAACACGCAGCTTATGGAACCTCTCTTGAACCCTCTAAGACCCTAATCTCTAAAGCTTCGTGAGTTGGACCCTGACCCCCTGGAGAACCCTCTCAAACCTTGTAGAAACTCCACAGAGCCGCGATATCATCGAACCGTTATCGAAGCCTTATAGGAGCCTTTATAGGACGCCATCCTAAACCCAAAAACACTTAAATCCAAAAACCTGAACAAAAAATAGGAAGCCACCCTAAACCCCAAACCCCTTAAACCCCAAACCCTAAACGGAGCCCTTATGGGAAGCCTTTTAGAAGGCCTTTTAGAAGGCCTTTTAGGAACCCTTAATAAAGCTTCAAAGCTTCTCGAGCCAGGTCTTCCTGGCCTGGCGGGCTCACGAGCGCAAGGGCGACGCCCGCTTTGCCTCTTCGGCAAAAGGCTTTAGGGGGTTGGTTATAGTAGGAGAGCTATGGTATGTTTTGTGTTTGTGTATGTGTGTATGTGTATATATATATATATATGTATATATGTATATCTAAATAAATACATAAATAAATATATACATATATATATATATATATATATATATATGTATATATATATGTATATATATATATATATATATAGGTGTGTGTGTGTGTGGGTGTGTGTATGTGTATGTGTATGCATATGTTTATGCATATGCGTATGAGTATGTGTATGTGTTTATGTATGTGTACGTGTGCGTGACTGTGTATGCACGTGTATGTGTGTGTGTATGCATGTATGCATGGATGCGGTTTCTTTATAAGGTTTCCTATATGGATTACGGGTTTGGGATTCAGGGTGTATTCCTATGTTAACCTATATGCGTATATATATATATATACACACACATAGAAACATGGCTTTTGTTCTCAAGGGTTGTTAAGTGGGTTCTTTGGGGGTTCCTGTATGACATCCTGAACTGCCCCAAGGCCAAAATCTGCATCCCGTCGCTGAGGATGGTGTGAAGGACAAGTTCGGCAGATTCCTGGTCTTCTGGATCGCGCAGGGCATGTGGGTGATGCTGATCTCCATGCCGAACCTTTTCATCAACTCGTCCAGCGTGAGCAGGCAGCCGGCACTCCCATCCTAGAGTCGTCCCCTGAAGCAACCCGGATTGAAGTCCGCAAGCTACGTGCCCTGCAGTGAAACTTGCGAAGGTAGTGGTGGAAACCACAGAAGGGAGCGGCCCCCTGCTGAGCTAGCCCTAAACTCGGCGCCCTGAAAATCTGAACCCTAAACCGCTGCAGAAACTCGCCTCGCCTGGAACCTTCGTAGAACCCTTACAGGGTCTTATAGAACCCCTATAAAGCCCTGCATGACAGGCCCCTCAACTGGTTCGACTGGCTTCTTGTGGCTGGTTTCGCCTATGCAGTTGCCGTCGAAATCTTGGCGGACATCCAGACGCCTGGGATTCTTCAGCAGTCTCCGCTTTGGGGTACTTTGGAACGCTACGTCCTAGCCCCCACACACACACGCACGCACGCACGTACGCACATGTAACTAAGACTATCTATCTGTGTATATATATATATACACATACGTACATAAGTATATACCCGTATATGTATATGTATACACATGTATAGGCTTATATGCATATGTGCGCACATATGAATTTAAGGATTGTATAGAAGGTTTTGTTTTTTGGTATATCGTGTTTATGGGGTAGTATAGACATCTCAGTAATTCGTACTAATACCTACTGTCCCTGCATGGCTAGACTCGACTAAGATATCCCCCTTCCGAAAAGAAACCTAACCATTAATCCCCCGATGTTTGAGTCTTGATTTGGGGCTATAGCTGTTAGGGATACGCAAACGTATTTTGCAACCACCCTCAAGCCTGGACCCTGTTGCAACATAGGAAACCTTGAGCCCCAAACTCAGCGCCCAAAACCCGAAACTGTCTGGAAAGCCCGATGCCCCCCGGAGCTAATGTGTCAAAGGGTCCTGAACGCTGAAACAAGCCCTAAACCCTAAACCCTAAACCCAACGACGCCTTTGAAGGAAGGCCAACTGGGTCTCGGCTGGCCGACCCGGCGGCTTCTGTCAGGTCCCAGAGAGGGTGTCGAAAAAAGTACGAGGTAAGCGGCTTAGGGTTTAGGGGATTAGAAGTTTCGGGGTTAAGGGTTTAGGGTTTAGGGGATTAGAAGTTTCGGGGTTAGGGTTTGGGGGGTTTAGGGCTTCTGGGTTTCGAAGCGGGGGTGCAACTTTTGTGGTTGAGGGGGGATTTGCAAACTCCACATGTGATTTCCCTCACCTCTAAACCTTACCTGAATCCAAAACTTCACTTCACTTCACTTCACTGCTGATCGGTACGAGTCCGGAGCAACCTAAGACGTGCAGCCCGAAAAGCGCGAACCGCTATGGAACGACGCGGGCAAACTCAACAAAAGGCACGGAGGCGAGAAGCACCTTAGGCGCGACCCAGCGACTCCGTGCGGAAGATGAAAGAGGCTCGCAAGGGGCGGACCGGGGGAGAACGGCCCGAGGGCAGGGGAGAGCACAGGGCATGAAGATCAGACCACCAAGCGGCCGGGCATGCGGGATGCTGTGCAGCAAACAGCGAGCCAGCAGGAAGGTGGGCAGTCCGAAACAAAGCCCGAGGGAGCAGCCTGCGGAGCAGCTCAAGACCAGCTGGGCCAGGAACACCCCAGAGCCAGAGGGCACCGCCAGCACAGACCCGCGCGCACACCTGGCGCAACGTAACCGTAGCAGCCAGCAGGCACTGCAATGCAACGGGCGGCTCACGCGAGGACGACGAGTCCACGGAGGCGCTCAGGCGCAAGGTCCGGAAAGCACGAGTGGCAGCCGCGTCCCAAGGATGGGAGAGATCAGCTGCGTTCCAGCACCCCCAGAAACGGTGCCACGACCTGGGAAGCTGCCAGACAACATGAGAGAAAGACCAAGACCAAGCAGACCACAGGGGGGACGGTACGTGCCAAGCCTCAGCGGATTCAGAGTAATCAAAGAAACATCGCCAGTGACAAGAGGACAAATGACCCTCAGGGTGTGCGGCCAAACGCGGAACGCCATCAGGGCGACTGCCGTGAGTAACAGACCTACCGGCTGCACCATCTCCAGCGGGGTGGTAGAGTGCGGCATGGGCTCCAGCGGGTGCAACCAAAGGCCCCCGATTGCCGATCCCGTTGTTGGGCTGAGGGGCCGGCCAGTCAAAAGGGTTCCTAGCTCCAGTGACTGCATACAGTTCCTGAGCGAGCTCAGCATCAGAACAGAGTCTCCCTTCTTGCGAAGCGCGGCGCTGTGCGGGGGTGGCATTGCAAGGGCCAGGGACCCTTATCGCCGGGATGCCACGATGACGTCGGGGACCGCCCCGGCGTGTCCCAGTGCCATACTCATAAACTTCGCCAACTGTGACCCGAAGTCCATGGACACAAAGTGGAGAGGTGCGCAGATGGTACTTGAGTCTATCAGTGGATTGCATCTCTGTATGACACCAGAGACACACAGTCCCGTGTGTAAAGCGAGTAAGCCAGTTAACAACTGAATGCTTACGATGTACGTGCGCAGCCAGCGCATGGGCGCTGGGGAGGACCGCATTGCAAATGGCACATGTGTGGGGGGTTGCAGAACCGAGGACACGCTTTTGCTTGGGCCCGGAGAGAGCTTGCCACAGGGCCCAGAAAGACCACTGCAGTGTGCCCCAACGGCTGAGGAATTTGCAGGCCTTGTGAAGCCCCCGCTTATTCTCCCTCACAAAGGCGAGGGCAGTAGGGACATACTGCCGGCATGCTCCAGCGACATTGCGAGCAACAAGCTTGCATGCGTCCGCCAAAATCTCGCACCAAGGCACAGAGTGATTCCACGCAGCATCAAAAAGGGACCAGACCTCGGCGGGAGCCTTATCAACGAGCTGGACAACCAGCCGGGTACGCGCAATCGCAACCGCATGCTCTGGAGCTGCAAGTCCAAGGAGACAAAACAAAACCGAACGGTGCAGGTGATGGCCGAACCTCCATGAGCTGCAAATTACCCTAGCAAGGCGCTCAAACAAACCTTGTAGAGGCGCAGTGGCTCTATCAGAGACCGCGACAGACGTGGCAATCGTCGCATACGCAGCCGGGAGGATCCTGCCGGCTACCCATGCTTGCCGTAACGCCCAAGGCAGGGCCTCCCCGCTAAGCAAGTTGCGGCCATGGGCCCAAGCAGTCCGTCCTCGCTGTGCACAGAGCTCGATGTCCCTGCGGCCATTATCTTTAGGATGCTGAACAACACCGAGGTACCTATATTCCGGGGTGAGTCGCAACTCGGCACCATTGGGAAGGAGCAATGGCGTCGCGGATCCGAGCAGCTCCCCGCGCACAGCTTTAGCATCAGCACCTCTTATATCCAGAAGTGCCTCTGTTTTCCCTGCTCCCAGGTTCACAGAAAAGTGCATAGCGTGAAATGTATCGATAACAATCTCTGCAACCCTTGGGAAGAGTTGCTGCAATTCGCGGGGGCTGGCATAGTCGGTGATGACTGCCAGGTCATCAGCCCATCCGACCTGCAATGGTCGCGGTATGGAACCGGAGGCGACACAAGCGGCATGACAGGCAAGTCCTTCCTGCTGGCAGGTGACCTCTATATGGCGAAGTGCGATGGCAAAGAGCGAGCCGAAAAGAATATCAGCTAACCCATCCCCTGGCCTAGACCCTCGGGTAGCAAGGAAAAGCCTATCCGAACCTGCCAAGTGCCAGTGTGCGCACGCGACGCAGTCCTTGAGCAGGGCGATTTCCTCAGGTGGAACCCCAAGAAGCTGCAGTGCTCCTTCGCGGCCTAACTGGTCAGCTAACGCCCCCAGGTGCTGCAGACGGTGAGCGCCCGGAGTCCAGGAGAGATTGCCCCCATCGAAAATGAGGTCCCGGTTTGCTTCATAGTAAGCAGCACGAATGTCCACAAACAGTACCGCAACACTACGCTGAACCTCAGTGCTTAAGGACCACCCGCACCGAAAGGCGGTCACAGCAAAATGGACCGGCATTCCGGGTCGCCCTCCCAACTGGAGGCCTTGGTATTGATGCAAGATCGAGTGCCCGATGCCACGACGTAAATGCCCATGGTACACTTTTGCCATACCGTTCATAAGCGCGATGGAGCGGTAGTTTTGGGGCAAGGCCGCGGGGCCCTTCTTATAAAGGGCGCAAATCAGCGCTAGTTTGAACTGGGGCGGTTCACGGCCTGTGAGCGCAGCACTGGTGCAGATCTGCCAAAACCAAATCCCTGCGTGTGCCGGGAAGTGGCGCCAAAGCTCGTTGAGTACAAGGTCGGGCCCGGGCGCTTTCCCCCCCTGCTGCCTTCGACAAGCTGATTCCATTTGAAGGAGAGTCGGGACCGCCTGGGGACAGCTGGTGGCTTGAATCCAAAACCCAGAATCCTACAACCAAGCCCTAAACTCAACATCCTACACCCAAAGCCCCTTTAGAACGAGTCCCCTCAGGTCGGTGTTTGGAGCCTCTCCCGGCATCCGAACTACTTCGGCGAAATATTTCAGTGGTGGTGCGCCTTTGCGCTGGCATACAATAGCTCAGAGGCTTCCTCCGGCTACATGGATCCCCTCTGGTGGGCTTGCATCTTGTCCCCCTTATTCACGATGCACATTCTGCTGAACATTGGTGCAACTGGTATTTCCAATGCGGAGGGTAAGAACCTCAAGCGCTATTACGAGAAGTGCCCTGATCCCTCGCCCGATATTCGCAAAGTGTTCTTTGTTGTTCGATTTTGTGCCGGGTTTAGGGTTTTGGTTTTAGGGTTGGGGCCGTTGAGGGGTTTGGGGAGTTTTGTTCAGAGCTAGACAGCTAGAGCCACGCCCTGTGTCCCAAGGAGGAGTATGCAGAGTACCGGAAGAATACCTCCATTCTCATTCCGATGGTGGGCTACAGACATATTCCGCTGAGCGTCAAGAGGACGAATCCACATTTGTTTCGTCGTTGGTCTATCTGCCTCTAGACGTTTACCGTTCATACTGTAGAAAAGAAGATGCAAATGTGAACACGATGCTTACTATGTCTGTGCAAGTAATGAAGAGCGTGGCGCCTCCTTGAATACCACATGAATTGTTTGTATTTTGTTATTAACAGCTATTCTGTAGAAGCTGCCCGCACCCTGTAATAGTGACTATAAGGCTACTATAAGGATTATATTAGGGCCCTAGTATATTCCTATTATACCACTATTACAGGGTGGGGGCAGCTTCTAAGCTATTCTGTACAGTTTCATGATAGAAACCCTAAACCCTAAACCCTAAACCCTAAAAACTAAACGCGGGATGCTAGACGATGTCTGGTGCAGCGCTTCGCTGCTCCGGGGTTTCTAGTTGAGCTGTGCTTTTCGCTTGCAACTTGCGAGCCTGTAGGGGCCTCAATAATTACCTACACTATATTTTGGGGGCTCCTTATTCTAATTATAGTATAATGGGCCCCCTAACCATATTCTAATTATTAAGGCCGCTATATTCTGATGTATGAGTCTGGGAAGCAGATGAAGAAACCGGGGTTCTTCAGTGCGTTATGACAACCCATTTCCGGATATGGAGCTGAGGTTCCTCTTGAGCCTGAAGCCGGTTGCCATGTTGTATTAGTGCTGCATAGATACGAAGGGCACTGAGTGGATAGTGGAAACGTGCGTGATCCAGCTGTCTTGTACATTAGTAATTGCTGAGGCATCCATATTCAACCCTAAGCCCCAAGCCTGCCCACAGGACGCTGCTTTTCGAGTTCGAGCGCTATGAATATCGTCCTGGAGGAGGGTCTGAAGTCAAGACAGACTGATACATTGGCAGAGTAGTGGGTCCCTGTCAAGGAACTTAGCTGAAGTTACCACTTTCAGGAAACCATTTTTTTACACAAGTTTGAACGACATATCCCATAATGGTATCTTAAGCTAAGTTCCCTAGCAAGGACTCAGAGTAGGGCAAAGTCTTCAGCCGCGCTGGCTCGCAGTTTCTTTTGCCAGGAAGCTCACCACTGCAAACACAGATCTTGACGAGCAGTGGCAGCAGTGATGGCGACTAGTGTAGAGGACTGAACAAGTAGAATAGGTTAGGGGGTAGAGTAGGGTAAATTTTGGGAAAAAGGCAATATGATTGCTACTTTATTCAGACCCTTGTATTAGTTTCAAGGGTCGGCTGGCCATTTCTGAAGTAAGACGCTTTCACCTTAGGAGTTGCACGTGGAAGTAGGCGCCATCCTATTCCTGGTGTGGGCACAGAGCTTGCCTGTGTCAAAGGACATGGGAGTTTCCGAAGATTAGGGGTACCTTATTTTGGGGTCCTTATAATAAGGATCCTACTATTCAGGGTACTATATTAGGGCCCCCCATTTTCGGAAGCTCCCACATGTGAAGATTAATGATTTTCGCGGGCCAAAGGCCCCTCAACCAGTTCGTACTCAGAGCACAGCACGGGTTGACAAAAAGCTTGTTATGGCGCCGGAGAGTCGCAACAAACGCAACAGTCATGATATGGACAGGATCGGAAGAAGGGTGTCCAAAGAGATGAGAATCTCAGGATGTCAAGGTCAAGACCACGTCGGTTTTAGTCAGCATCTTCGTGGCTTGCGGGACAGAGGGGGTGCAAGAAATGTGTGAAGGAACATGTTGATATCGCTTTCCGAGATTTCGATACTCCTTTCGTCGAGTGATCCTTGGGCCAGGCAGCCAGGGTACATGTCTATGCAATGCAGCCTCTCGGAAGGCATTGATCGAACGTACTAGGGGATGTACCCCCTTGGGGCAGAGACGCCTATATCCGATCCGAACCAGGCGAAAGATCCCGACAAAAGTCCCCGGGGCTTGAAATACTAGATCTCCGCAGCATGCGGAGAGAGCCATGGCAGTATTGAAGGGGGGGCAGAAGGTAGTTTTTCCTAAGTGCCAGACCCCTCCCTAAACCCACTAAACCCTACACCCTCCCAAGGCCACTGGTCAACAAGCCATGAACCCCCAAAAACCTGATGCTCTGAATGAAATCGCTGTGCTGCTCGTGAGAGTCTCGGGCAGAGTTTCGCTCTTTCCTGGCCTTGGGTTGCCAGTACAGACGGGCCGGAATGATTGGCGATTAGTAGTACTGTTCCGTAAGGTTCATAACATAGTTGAAGTATAATCTACCCCGAAACGCTATCCGGACCAGTGAGGCTGGTATATTCTTTTCGTGGGACCCCGCGAGTAGCATGAACTGGACAGGTGAGAAGCCATGCATGAGCACCATCTCTCGGTCGTGCCGTAGCTGAGATGTGGGAGTTTCCGTTAATAGGGGACCCTAATATAGTACCCTGAATAGTAGGATCCTTATTATTTGGACCCCCAAATAAGGTACCCCTAATTTTCGGAAACTCCCATGTGCTCGCCGAGTTTGGAAGCATGAAGGAAGACAAGAAACGGTTGAGGATTCAGGCTTCGAGCAACAGATTTGGCGACACTGCAAACAGCATACACCTAGCCAATCTTTGCAGCTCCGTGCGCTCTAGACCCAAAACACTTCGACCCTAAAATCCTCAGCCCGACCACCCTCAACTCGAGAACCCAAGAATCGCCCATGATAAGCCTAAACACTCAACTCTAACCACCAGACGCCGAATCCTCAACCCTAAACCCTCAACCCTAATCCTAAACCCTAGAAGCCCATTTTCGTTGAACCCTACGCCCCCCCAGCCTAAGCCGTAGCTTCGTAGAAGCCCCCGGGGGCGGGCCATGGCAATGGCTCGACCCCTAAGCAGCGTCTCTGTGCTAGCCATCGCTGCCCTCTCTGCCGCTGCAGGCTGGGTTGGGATTTTCCCGGCATTTTCGGGGTGGTCCGGTTTGCTGAGTGTTTAAGGTTAAGGCTTGCAGGGTTTTGAGTTTTGTGTCGAGGGTTTTCGGGTTTTAGGGTGCAGAGATTCTTGTTTTGGGGTGAGGGGCTAAGGGTGGAGGGATGAAGCCCGAACTCTCGCTGCCAGTCGACGCAATCTCGGTTCTTCTCTCATGTGTCGGCTCAATCTCTTGGCCTTCCGTGCCCCATCCCCAACGTCGCGAAATCTAAATTTTGAGCATGCTTTGATGCTCATACTTACACCCCGCCCTTCTCCACACTAGCGATTCAGCGATAATCTCCCCAGCGTTGTAAGCGACTGCGTCCCTGGGTCTTTAAAATCCAAGCTTCCACTTGGGCCTGCTTCTGGTCCGACGCCGCGTCGAGTAAGGAGAGAGGGCGGTGAAGCAGGAGGAGCAGCTGACAGAAGCAGACCACAAGAACGCGACGAAGTAGGACAATAGCGAGAAGAGACATAGGAAGAGAGAGTAAGAGCGAGAAGAGAGAGAGAGAGAGAGAGAGAGAGAGAGAGAGAGAGAGAGAGAGAGAGAGAAGAAGAGAGAGAGAGAGAGAGAGAGATCGAGCGAGCGAGCGAGCGAGCGAGCGAAAGAGAGAAAGAGAAAGATGACGAGAAAGAGCAAGAGAAAGAGACAGATAAAGATAAAGAGAACGAGAAACAGAAAGAGAAAGATAAAGATAACGAGAAAGACAAAGAGAACGATACAGAGAAAGAGAGACAGAGAGAGACAATCCCAGCTCGAGTTGGAATTATAGTAGTTATAGTATCAGCTGGAGGACGGCTATATCCACCACGGGGTCGCATGCTATTTGCTTGTATGTTCCAGCTCCGTGTATCAGCCCGGAATCGACTTACCTTTTCGATTAGCCCTGCATCCGAAAAGTGGCTATGGTGATGGTGAGAGTTGCAGGCAGGTTCATCGCTGATAGGCAGCTCATTACACTTTTGCAACTGTTGCTGCTACACTGTTGTTGGCTATGCAGCGGGTGCTGCTGCTGTGCCAGCTGACACTGGTGCTGATGGTGGTCTCTTCCCCGCACTTCGCTTTGACCGAAACACCCACCGGCCCTGATGAGCCCAAGCCCTAAAGCGCGAAGCCTTAAAACTCCCGTCAGCATCGGAAACCCGGTTGGTCCCCTAACCCTGAACCCCCAAACCCTTAAACCCCCAAACCGCCAAGCACCTAACCCCGAAACCCGAAACCCCAAAATCCTGGACGCTTAAACCCGAACCCGGAACCCTAACCCGGAACAGTACATACCGGCCGCACAGGTCGTGCCTGGATTGCAGGCGGCTGGTCGCCGGGCCGCCAGTGCGACGGCAGCTCCCATGTAGCTTGTCCTTCAGACTTACGGTGATATCATACTTGGTGGTTGTCAAAATTAGGGTCCCTTTTTGGGTCCTTATTATAAGACGGTACCTATTATTTAGGGTACCCAAAAGGGGACCATAATTTTGACACGCCCACTTATACTTCACTATGTTATGTTCTGGTTTCAACCACTGCAGCGAAGTGAGGTCTGGGTCTTAGGGTGAGTAAGGATTCTTGCGTGTCGCTGATGATGATCATGATGGACGTGATGATGGTCCTCCGAGCATAAAAAACAAACTTCTAAACCCTCTGCCAAGTATGGGGGCGTTAATACCTGGAACCGGGTTTGAGGGACATTTTGTGCAATACTTGTACCCTCCATCCCTCAAACCCTAGCCCCTAAACCGCCAAACCATTAAACCACCAAGCCACTAACCCTAAACCTTAAGCCTGAAACCCTAAACCCCTAAGCCCCCAACCCGCCTAACCCTTAAACCCAAACACCCAAAACCCCCAAACCCTAAACCTCCGAAACCCTTAAACCCCCAAGCCCTAAACCCTAAAACCCCGAAGCCACAAAGCCACGAAACCCTGACTCCTAAAACTTGAAGCCTAAACCTCGAAACCCTTAGACCCCCTCCTGAACCCCCTAAACCTCCTGAACCCCCTTAGCCCTACGGTTGATGATATGAATGAGGAATATACCATAACTCCCATAGTCCAGAGCCATTAAGGTAATGCAGGCTTTATAGCATCGACTGGAGCTCCAAAAGGGCTCAGGGCTCCGCCCCTTCGTCAGCCAAGGCTCTCCGCGCTCTGCCGCGGGTAGATCGGGCGAAGCCGAAGCTGCGGCGGCAGGCTGGATTCCAGTGAAGGAATTGAGTTTAAGTTATCACATAATAGGTAGGTAGTATAGTTCCCTTATCCTTAAATTAGATCCCTTCATAAGAACCCAGGAGGTGGAGGGTTTGGGGCTTTAGGGTTTGAGGTTTAGGGTCTTAGCTTCATTTTGGCCCAGGGTTTAGGGGGGCCAGGGTTTTTTTTTTTTTCAAAGGTGCGGCCAACCCTTGTTTGCGAGGTGCGGCCAAGGGTCCCTGGTGCAGGCGGTCCCCTGGTCCTTGGTCCTGTGGTCCCTTGGTCCTTGGTCCTCTGGTCTGCTGGTCCTCTAGTCCTTGGTCCTGCGGTCCCTTGGTCGTCTGCTCTTCTGGTCCTGTAGTCCCCTGGTCCTCTGGTCAGCTGGTCCTCTGGTCCCGTGGTCTCCTGGTCCCGTGGTCTCCGGTCCGCCGGTCCCTCGGTCCCGTAACAGCAACAAGAACGCAGACAAGGAATACATTCGCCAAAGCACAAGAAGAAGAAAGCCAGACAACAACGCGTCAGGGTGGATTAATGCGAAGTAAACACAATCAATCGTGAAGGGTTTAAAAGGTTTGCAGGCTGCGCCCCCCCAGCCCCCCCACTTTTTTTAGACTAAACTCCCCGCTCACTGGCACGAAGAGATGCACAAAAACGTATTCGCCAACACAGAAGAATGAGAAAGCCAGACAACAACGCGTCAGGGTGGATTAATGCGAAGAAAACACAATCAGTCGTGAAGGGTTGAAAGGGTTTGTAAATACAACAAAGCGTCAGGGTGGTTTAATGCGAAGTAAACACAATCAATCGTGAAGGGTTTAAAAGGTTTGCAAATGGGGGGGGCTGCGCCCCCCCCAACCCCCCCGCTTTTTTTAGACTAAACTCCCCGCTCACTAAAGGCACGAAGAGATGCACAAAAACGTATTCGCCAAAACACAAGAAGGAAGAAGTCCAGACAACAACGCGTCAGGGTGGTTTGATGCGAGGAAAACACAATCAATCGTGAAGGATTTAAAAGGTTTGCAACTGGGGGGGTGGCTGCGCCCCCCCCAACCCCCCCGCTTTGTTTAGGCTAAACTCCCCGCTCACTAAAAAGCCGCGAAGAGATGCACAAAAACGTATTCGCCAAAGCACAAGAAGAAGAAAGCAGACAAGAACGCGTCAGGGTGGTTTAATGCGAAGTAAACACAATCAATCGTGAAGGGTTTAAAAGGTTTGCAGGCTGCGCCCCCCCAAGCCCCCCCGCTTTTTTTTGGCTAAACTCCCCGCTCACTGGCACGAAGAGATGCACAAAAACGTATTCGCCAACACAGAAGAAGGAGAAAGCCAGACAACAACGCGTCAGGGTGGTTTAATGCGAAGAAAACACAATCAGTCGTGAAGGGTTGAAAGGGTTTGTAAATACAACAAAGCGTCAGGGTGGCTTAATGCGAAGTAAACACAATCAATCGTGAAGGGTTTAAAAGGTTTGCAAATGGGGGGGGCCAACCCCCCCGCTTTTTTTAGGCTAAACTTCCCGCTCACTAAAAAGCCGCGAAGAGATGCACAAAAACGTATTCGCCAAAGCACAAGAAGAAGAAAGCCAGACAACAACGCGTCAGGGTGGTTTAATGCGAAGTAAACACAATCAATCGTGAAGGGTTTAAAAGGTTTGCAGGCTGCGCCCCCCCCAACCCCCCCGCTTTTTTTTAGACTAAACTCCCCGCTCACTAGCACGAAGAGATGCACAAAAACGTATTCGCCAACACAGTAGAAGGAGAAAGCCAGACAACAACGCGTCAGGGTGGTTTAATGCGAAGACAACACAATCAGTCGTGAGGGGTTTAAAGGGTTTGTAAATACAAAAAAGCGTCAGGGTGGTTGAATGCGAAGTAAACACAATCAATCGTGAAGGGTTTAAAAGGTTTGGAAATGGGGGGGGCTGTGCCCCCCCAACCCCCCCGCTTTTTTTAGACTAAACTCCCCGCTCACTAAAGGCACGAAGAGATGCACAAAAACGTATTCGCCAAAACACAAGAAGGAGAAGTCCAGACAACAACGCGTCAGGGTGGTTTGATGCGAAGAAAACACAATCAATCGTGAAGGATTTAAAAGGTTTGCAACTGGGGGGGTGGCTGCGCCCCCCCCAACCCCCCCGCTTTGTTTAGGCTAAACTCCCCGCTCACTAAAAAGCCGCGAAGAAATGCACAAAAACGTATTCGCCAAAACACAAGAAGAAGAAAGCCAGACAAGAACGCGCCAGGGTGGTTTAATGCGAAGTAAACACAATCAATCGTGAAGGGTTTAAAAGGTTTGCAGGCTGCGCCCCCCCAAGCCCCCCCGCTTTTTTTTGGCTAAACTTTCGCTCACTGGCACGAAGAGATGCCCAAAACGTATTCGCCAACACAGAAGAAGGAGAAAGCCAGACAACAACGCGTCAGGGTGGTTTAATGCGAAGACAACACAATCAGTCGTGAAGGGTTTAAAGGGTTTGTAAATACAACAAACCGTCAGGGTGGTTTAATGCGAAGTAAACACAATCAATCGTGAAGGTTTTAAAAGGTTTACAAATGGGGTGGGCTGCGCCCCCCCCAACCCCCCCGCTTTTTTTAGACTAAACTCCCCGCTCACTAAAGGCACGAAAGATGCCCAAAAACGTATTCGCCAAAGCACAAGAAGGAGAAGTCCAGACAACAACGCGTCAGGGTGGTTTGATGCGAAGAAAACACAATCAATCGTGAAGGATTTAAAAGGTTTGCAAAGGGGGGAGGTCCCCGATGAACCCTCCACAGGGATACTGCGTGTCGAAGCGCCGGCGCTGTGGCGCGGTGCAAATTTTCAACGTCCCCGATGAAGCTTCCACACGGATCCTGCGTGTCGAAGCGCTGGCGCTGTGGTGCGGTGCAAATTTTCTACGTCCCCGATGAACCCTCCACAGGGATCCTGCGTGTCGAAGCGCTGGCGCTGTGGCGCGGCGCAAATTTTGTATGTCCCCGATGAACCCTTCACAGGGATCCTGCGTGTCGAAGCGCTGGCGCTGTGGTGCGGTGCAAATTTTCTACGTCCCCGATGAACCCTCCACAGGGATCCTGCGTGTCGAAGCGCTGGCGCTGTGGCGCGGTGCAAATTTTGTATGTCCCCGATGAACCATTCACAGGGATCCTGCGTGTCGAACCTGAACAGATACTTGGCCGCACCTAGGAAAAAAAAGGGTTGGCCGCACCTTTGAAAAAAAAAAACCCCTCCGCCGGTTTAGGGTTTCCGTTTCAACGGTAGGGTTTAGTTTAGATCAGGGCCAGAGCAGCTGTCTTGGATTGTTCAACAGGGTTTCCTCGTTGTTTGGGACGCTTTTCTTTAGGAATTAGCTGTGGGAGTATCCTTGCTGCTGTGCTGAGACAGAGTCGGACTGGGCTCGAGTCAACAGTGCGATTTCGTTTCACTCCTCCGTAGTTGTAGGAATGAAGCTGCCTGCAGTATGCTCGCTTGTGGGTGCTTTCGTGATGCCATGGGTCGCCAGAAGCTGCAGCGTTTCAGGCGACTGGCAGGAGACCTCTCCAGCAGAGCAGTGGGGGGCGGCTTCTTACGTAATCTCCGGGGTTTCCGATGGGCTGAGTGGTTGTGGCATTCTTTCTGCTGATCAGCAATACAGACCAGAAGATGCAGCCCTCTTCAATGCATCGGGACCTTGTGTGCCGACAGAAGCGGGGTACCTTGTCCTTGTCCGCAATTTGACCTTCACGAAGGGTTCGATCTCGAACTGCAGCGAGATTGTGGTGGGCGGCTTCAGCGGGAGAAGCGCCTGCGGCGTGGACCCACCAAGTGTCAACTCGACGGGGACCTTCTTCCTTTGCAACGTAGTTGTTGAGGGGGGAGTTTGCAGAGGCATGCTGAACCAAGAAGGCAACATCCACCTCGGATTCGTTTCAGAGGCTGTTCCGGTGCCGGCTAGCACTCTCTGCCCGCAGGACTGAGTGCACTCTCGCTTGCTGTTACTGGTAGCCAGCTGCTTATTGAAGGGTTCCTTGCTCTGCGATCTTGCAATCCTTAATGGCCCTTAAGCCTGGCCTAAACCCTGAACCCTAAATCCTGAACCCTAAACCCTGAACCCGAATAAAGGCCGCCCTCTGCTTTCAGGACGGAACCTGCTATGACGTGACGCGGTGCTCCGCCGGGTCACTCTCGAACAGCCATTGGATCACAATGATACCGAGCCTCTTGGGCGTTCTGCTCATGCACGTCCTGTAGAGTCTGTACTTGGAGGATCATGGGACGTGGTAAGTAATGTTACAAGTACAGTACTTAGTACTTGTGGCTAGTAGTAAGTACGAGTATAGTTACCTCTAGATCCGAAGTCCCATGACCTTTTAACTAGAGTGCCGTAGAGACTTCGGCTGTCACGCAACTGTTTTACGGCTGCTGTGAGACATCTCGCACCACGAATAGAATTACCCGGGGCCTCGGCATGTGAGCTCACAAGACCCTGCTCTAGCTGCTTGCGACCCGACACGCGCACAGGACCAGCTGCCGGAAGCGAAGACATGGAGAGCCTGAGATGCAACCCAGAGACCCTAAACCCTAAAACCCTAAACTCTAAACCCCTAAACCCTAAACCCCTAAACCCCTAAACCCCTAAACCCCTAAACCCTAAACCCCTAAACCCTAAACCCCTAAACCCCTAAACCCCTAAACCCTAAACCCCCAAACCGGCTTCAGGGTTTGGGGATTGCTGCTGCCGCTGCTGCTGCCACGTTGCCTGTGCGACTTCAACCCCGACTGCTTCTCTTACCTTTGCTTAGTAGGAAATGGAGGAATGGGGTACAGTTATAACTTATAACTACTATTACTACCCTTCTTCCATTCCCTACTAACCAAAAGTAAGTACTGCTAGGGCTAAGCCGTCGTCTCCGAAGGAGTCCCTTCGACTCGTGAAGCCCCAGCCCGCAACCACAAAATCCTGACCTTTACCCACAGCCTGGCACCACATATCATACTGTACACATATATGTATATATGTATACACACGCACATATATATATATATATATATATATATATATATATATGGTTGTGCGCTGTGCGTTCTCGGCCCCCCCCCCCCCCCCCCCCCCCCCCAATGGTATCCCCCCCAAATATACAGGAGCCTGAACCCTGGAGGCTTGGAGGACTCCCGCTACAGGCGCGCCGCACAGCGCATTGTACCCCGCTTGGCCCGCCCGCTACGCACCCGCGTAATTTCCACAGTAAGGATAGGGTTTCGAGGCAAAACAGAGTAACATTATTCCTACGCCGAAGGCCTCCAAGCAGGGCTTCCTGCGAGCACTAAGCAACATGTTCTAGGCAGCACTCAGCAAGATTACTCGTGTGCCAAAATTTCCAAGCAAGGCTATGTAAAATTCCTTAGAAAAGGGTTCCAGGCAATACTTCGTAACATTACAGGAGAGCATGTGCGGAGAATGCCATATACATACATAGACACGCGGTGTGTGTGTGTGTATGTGTCTCAGAGCAAAAAGGGAAAACCATCCTGTTCCACAGGAGGGGGGGAGATAGAATGGCCATACATTCAGAAAGACATGGTGCGTGTGTGTGTGTGTGTCTCAGAGCAAAAGGGAAAACTATCCTGTTCCACAGGGGGGGGGGTTGGAAAATAGGGCAAACCATCCTGTTCCACAGGGAGGGGGGGATAGACAAGGCAAACCATGCCGTTCCACAGGGGGGGGGGCGGGGAGAATACACGTCGATTACTTATGAAAATATATCAGAGTACCTATAACAGGATACCATAGGGGGGAGGGGGGGAGGGGGAGGGGGGGGGGGGAGGGGGGGGGGGCCCGCCGGGCGCAACATATATATATATATATATATATATATATATATATATATATATAAATATAATTATATATATATATATACACACACACACACACATTTATGCATCAATTTCTTTTGCGGGTTTCATTGGGCATCGCGCAAGGAGAGTTGCGCAGAGATCCGCGCTTCGACCACAGCCCGGGCAGCAAATGGCGGACCCAGCTTTTGCCTCAGGAGGACCCTGGGAATTCCTTCGCCTACTGAGTAGTAGGGGTTCCTTTAAGGGTTTTTGTTCGGGTTCCTTTGAAGGGTTCCTTTAAGGATTTAGGATTTAGGGTCGATGTCCTTCACCTAAAGCCAGTTTGCTAAGCCCTAAGCCCTGAACCCTAAAGCAAAAACAAGCCTAAAACCCCAAAATCCTGAAGCCCTAAACCCTAAACCCAACTTTTGCTAGGTGGGCAGACAACAAACGGAAACCCAACTTTGATGCCTCAACCCTAAACCCTAAACCCTCAACCCTAAACCCTAAACCCTAAACCAGGAGTCCCAGGATCCCAAGCGCATTCAGATCAGCTTGGTCAAGAGCCAGTCCATCCAGAGCAGCTTTGCGGTTTAGGGTTTAGGGTTTAGGGTAAGGGGTCAGTTTTTTGGAGTATCGCCTTACTTGGGGGTTCAGGGGTAGTTATAAGTGGAGTTATAAGTAAGGTAACTATAATTATAAACCATATTCGGGGACTCATAACCCCACGTCCAACTACCCATGAACCTCCAAGTATAGTCCATCGTTATACTAGAAGATCTCCTGGTAGTAATGCCTTTATAGCCCGCCGATGTACCATACGGTACCCTAGTACTCATATCACACCTTAAAGTCCGTGAGCAATTATACTACAAAACGCAGCAAAGCCCTATTCTAATTCTTAGGCCCCTTTTGCAGCTTAACAGGAGTTTTATCATTCCTCAGTGCAAGAGCCGGTCCGGAATCAGAACAGAACAGCCCAAAGCCCAAATCTCGAAACCGTTTCAATCCCAATGCCCTACTCCCAAAGCCTCGGTAAGCCCTCTACCCTTCCCTCACCTTTGGTTAGTAGGGAATGGACGAATGGTAGTAAGAGTAGTTATAGTTGTACCCCATTCCTCCATTCCCTATTAACCAAAGGCAAGTTCCTGCGACTGAGGACTCTTGTACCTCCTGGATGCAGGAGACATGGAGAGGTGGCCGCTCTGATGCAAGAAAACTCAGATGTGCTCTTCTCTATCCAAAGCCTCATTTAGAAGCCTTAGGATTCCTGATGCCAGAACATACCCCAGCCCCTACTCTTCTTGAAGCTTCTTTATCAAAAGCTCTGCAGTCGACCCCCGGCCCTTCCCTCACGGTTTCTCTCCCAGAGCCTTGAAGGCTCGTGCTTAAGGCTTGCCTGCTCCCCTGGAGTTCTAGATGCATTCCGACATAACTACGCACGAACCCTTCCAGGAACATCTCCCCAAAGGACCCAGTGCGCAGTGGTGGAGAAAACATCAGCCCGAATCTTAGGAGCTGTATGGGAGTTTCCGAAAATTAGGGGTACCTTATTTTGGGGTCCTTATCATAAAGGCTCCTACTATTTTGAGTACTACATAGAGTTACATTATGATGCGCACCAGAACCCTGTTTTAATCGTTCAGGTCCCGAAATTCAGCCCTTGACGCCTCATAGCGTGCTACTATTTCCTGAAGGAATAGAGCGTTTGAGATGCTTGTATAGTCGCTACATAAACCCTGCAGCCTAGAAGGCTTAGCAGGACCCTAAACCCTACATGCATCCTCTAAGCCTGAAGCCCTGAATGCTAACCCCGAAGTCCTAAGCCCTACTTGGAGGTTCATGGGTGGTTATAGCTGAAGTTACGAGTCCCGTAATGTGGGTTGTAATCATGGTTACCTGACTTCTAACTCCGCTTACAACTACCCATGAACTTCCAAGTAGGCCCTAAATTTATAGAATCCCTGTAGATCCCTTTAAGGGAATAAGCCCATCGCACTCAAAGGACTCCGGTGAACTTAGCCACCGCCTGGCATCGGCTCGCGAAGTTCTCGCGGAACGAGGCTCGCAAGGAGCAGCCCGAGGAGCGGGAAATGCACGCCTGGAGCCCGAGCACTGCGGTGGATGCTGAACCCTATAAGGGTACCTTTAAGGGATTCCTTTAAGGGATTCCTTTAAGGGATCTATGGGTTTTTAGGGTTTAGGGTATCGGGCTGATGATATACACCCTGCATTGCCTTAAAAGAGCCAAAACTAGGGGCACGATGGTATATTCCTTATTATGGGTACTGCAGGAGTTGTATCATGAATAGACAGCAGTGGACATTGAGGGTTCGTTGGCATCGGAATGGCACGCAAGGTGGCAGTTGTGGCAGAGCAGTAGCAAGAGCAGCTGCAGCAGCTGCAGCAGCAGCAGCAGCACCAGCAGCAGCAGTAGCGGCGCGAAGTGATAGCAGCAATGAGTGGTCGTCGTCGCAGTTTTAGTAGTAGTAGTAGTCGTCGTCGTCGTCCTCGTCCTCGTCGTAGTCGTAGGCATGGGCGTAGGCGTAGGAGTAGCAGAAGTAGGAGTAGGAGAGTAGTAGGAGGAGGAGTAATCAGTTGTAGTAGCAGCAGCAGCAGAAGTGGTTGTGGCAGTGGCAGTGGCGGTGGCAGCAGCAGTGGCAGTGGCAGCGAGGGGCAGTGGCAACAGCGGCAGCAGCAGCAGCAGCAGTGACAGTAGCAGTCAGAGGCAGGAGCAGTAGCAGTAGCAGTAGCAGTAGCAGTAGCAGTAGTAGTAGTAGTAGTAGTAGTAGTAGTAGTAGTAGTAGTAGTAGTAGTAGTAGTAGTAGTAGTAGTAGCTAGTAGTAGTAGTAGTAGTAGTAGTAGTAGTAGTAGTAGTAGTAGTAGTAGTAGTAGTAGTAGTAGTAGTAGGGTTGTAGTAGTAGTAGTAGTAGTAGTAGTAGTAGTAGTAGTCGTAGTAGTAGTAGTAGTAGTAGTAGTAGTAGTAGTAGTAGTAGCCGTCGTAGTGGGAGTAGCATTAGTAGTAGTCCTCGTCGTAGCAGCAACAACAGCAGAAGTACTCAATAGAGTTGCTACTACATGTTTATTGCCATTGCCACGAGTATGGTAGTTTCTACTCAAAAAAAGGTTGCTGACTTGCTGGGATTACTCTGGGTTTGATTGCTGCAGCATGTTCTCACCTTTTTCGCCGATGATGCCGCCCTGCGCAGCCGGGCTCAAGTAAGGGAGCCCGAAGGAAGATGCGAGTCTTCTCCTTCGGCAAAGTCTTGGGTGTTGGAGCCGGATGCCAAGCTCCAAACTGACCATGCCATTAAACGTGTAGAATGTTGAAAGGCCTGAACCGTGTCGGGCAGGTGTTGGGCACTCCAAACATCCAAGGGGACTCTGGGAATACTATACTATTGTGATTTAGTCAGGTTTTGTAATTGTGGGTTACATGCACATAGAAGTACGTCTGCATATATATATATATATATACGTGTATATATATATATATATGTATGTATATATACACACACACATACACAGACACATATCTGTACACATGTGCGTGCGAAAAACGCGGATGTGTGTGGAGCATAGTATGAGCATGCATCACGGAGAAACAAGCAGTCAAGAGAACACAAACAGAGCACTTCAGTGCAAACACCAAAAACATCACAAAACCATGCATGCATGTATGTGCGCGCAGGTAGATATACACTGTATATTCACACACACACATATACACACACACATATATATATATATATATATATATATACACACACATGTTTATGTATGGGCACACGTATACTCATATCATTCCTGTTGTGATTGTCAGGTTTCTGCATGCCTGGCCGGAGTCGTCAACTTTGCGTGGCCCGGGCCTCATCAACTACTGTAGGCTGGCTGGAACTAGGATTTATATGGGTTTCTATGGGTATGGGTGCTACAAAACGGTTCTCTGAGGGTTTCAGAAGGGTTTCTATGGGGGCCTATACGAGTTCTTGAAGGGGTACATGAGGGTTTGGTTTTATACGGGCTCATGAGGGTTTTGTAGGATCGAACTCCGCGGTTTTCTGCGCTTGTGATGAGCCTGTGGACCTGAACTAGCACTGTGGTTCAGGGTTCCGCAACTCCTAAACCTCAAACCCCGAAGATAAAGCTCGCACCTGCAGCTCTGAACCATAAAGCCCCAAAACCCCGAAGCCCCTAAACCCCGAAAACCCCTAAACCCCTAAACCCTAAAACCCCTACACCCCTAAAACCCCTAAACCCCCAAACCTCTAACCCCCTCGACCCCTAAACCCCGAAACCCCTAAACCCCTAAACCTTAAAAGAACCTACGCCCCTGCAAAGTGCAGGCCGAAGCTTTACAAGAAGTGGAAGGGGAAGCCTCCGATGTCCTTCGAGGGCTGGCGGCTATCCAGGAGCTCCCCTTGTTCGGAGTCAAGGGCTCAGGGGTTCAGGGTTTAGGGTTTTGGGTTTAGGGTTTAGGGTTTAGGGTTTAGGTTGTGGATGACAGAAGACTTGCTACGCAGAGGGCTCCACCTCTTCGTGGGGTTTGCAGCTCCAGGTATTGTATCTAGGATGCCCAGTAGTACCCTTATTCCCTTTTTGTAGTCCTAGGTTCCTTATAAAGTTACCCAATACCAAAAAGAGAGGCCTTTTTATTCTCAGGTTACTGGGTATCCTAGGTATGGTTAGAGGTTAGAGCTCAGTGTTTTCGGTCCAGAGTTGAGGGGATGTCGGTCCCGACTTGAGGTGTTCTTCCGTACCTTGCTGGCGGCTGTAGTTAAGGATTTTTCGGAGCATCTGACCAGTTCATATCCGCCTTGAGCCTAGAGTCCCGCATCCCCTGTGCATAAATCAAGTTCGCGCTAAGCAGGCAGCACTCAATGCCGAATTGTCCACTCTGGATTGATCCGTCGAACCCATCCGACTAGGACTGAACCTCATAAGCTTCTGGGCTTCCGGGCACTCACTTCCGGCAGGACTGAGTTGCGGGATGTGTTCAACAAGTATGAGCAGGCCATTGAGAAAGATGCGTGCGCCCGTGTTGACGCTAGTTTGCAGCGACAGTGTATTGCTGGTTGTTGCGAGGGCCGTGCAGACTTCAGAAATGACTAAACTGACTACGGTCGCATGTAGACGGCTTGTTTTCGGTTGTTCAAGATCACCCTCAAACCCCAATCTCTAGTCCCTGAGCGCTCTCATGTATGCATGTATGCATGTACATGTATGTACCTATGCATGGGCGTATGATGGACGTATGTACGGATGTCAGGATGTATGGATGTATGTATGCATCTATGGTTGTGATGATTTGTTGACGGAAGCAGCGATGGATGGATGCATGCATGGATTGATGGATGGAGGGAGGGAAGTTGGGATAGATGGAGGGATGAACGGGTGGCTGGCTGGCTGGGTGGGCAGGTGGGTCGATGGACGGATGCATGGATGGACGGACGCCTGGATGGATGGACGGATGAGTGCATGTGCATGTACGATGATGTATACATTCGCGGTTTCTGTGAACACTAGCATACATGCGAGTTGTTTTTGGAGTGGCTTTCATCTGCGGAGGTACAACCTGCTGCAGCCCAGCAAGCTTGAGCGGAAACTCCTTGGCGAGGACATCATCGATCGAAGAGTCAAACTTATCCGCAAGGCACGTGTTGCCCGCCGTTACAAAGAGTAGCGGTGATAGCACTTTCTTGACCGGCTCTGCTACCCCCGAACCAAACATGACGGTGGTGTCGGCGGCTGATTTTTCGCGATCATGCCCTCCCACGCCGCGCAGGCCCGCGACGTAAACCGGGACTTTGTGGATGAGGTGATTGAGGCCGCTTGGAATCTCTATGCCTTATGCAACTTCTATCGGTGTGGATGGAGACTAGGGGCCTTGAGATTTTCTCCGGATTCCACAAAAGGAGGTTCATAGGACTTCGTAAGTAGAGTTATAAGTACCCTAACTGGTATTATAAGTAATTATAAGTATACTTACCTTATTTGTAATCAAAGACCAGTGTGCTTGGACTGCTAAGTTGCTCGATTTAGGGTTGAGGGAGTAGGGGTGACAGGACCTGCCCGACATCATGGCTGGTCCGGATGCTGGCATACCTCCGGCACGGCCCGTCGCAGAGGTCAGCATGCACAGTCGTGCCAGGATTTCTTGTAATCTTAACGCTTGTAGGGTGCATATGCGCTGCATTTTCAATGCGGTTCTCTAATCGTATGATGTTGACAGAGCCGGAACAGGCATCCGCCAAAGGCTACGTATGGAAATGCGGAACACATGTTCAGGTTAGGGTTGGCAGAAAGGCAGCGCCCTTGTCGGCAAGGAACTGCAGACGGAAAACACTGGCGGGAGATCTGCGATCGGCTATTGATGTTCGGGCTGTAGATCATATAGGACTCAGGCCAGACAGTCTGCACCAAAAGGCCTATGTGCCTGAGTTCTAGTTGAGCAGACATAGGTGCGCTAGCACGCCCTTTCCCGGTAGATTCCTAGCGCAGGGTCCGTCAGTCTTCTCCGCCGGAGCTACTTAAAGGATCATGGGACTTAGTAACTAGTGCTATAATTAGTGTAACTATACTTATAACTACTTATAACCCCAATTAGGGTACTTATAACCTTACTTACTAAGTCCCATGATCCTCCAAGTAGAGAATTGTGATATCTCTATTCTGGAAGAGCTATTCCACCCTGGGGCTCTCTCCGCTTATCCATAGTATGTGTGCATGGCAGTCAGAAGATTCTCGCTAGGTCGAAGTTTGATCCCGGAAATGTGGGGACTTTTCCCTAGAAGCGGAGCTGGTGAAGGCACTTATCGCAACACCGCGGGCAAGTCAGTTTTCATCAACCTGGGCTAGCACCCCTACAACCGGTAACCAGTCCATGAACTTTTGGTCAAGCCCTTTGCAACGAAAGACTTAATGCCTCGAAGCCAACGCTTAGACTGAACTGGCGTGAAGCTTCAGAGCGTTTCCCCCTCTTGACAGGGATTAAAACTCAACCCAAATCTATCCCAAACCCTACACTTCAAACGGTCCTAAACAAGACCAAAATTTTGAGTTCCTAGCCAAAACTTCACATCCAACCGTGACAGGTTCGCAAGCTCCCGGATGGAGTCGATACCCTCCCAGGAACTGCCTACGGTATGGGACTCGGATTACGCGAAACTTACTTTTTTGCTTGCCATCGGGACGGTTTCGCCTCTACCATTTGAATCACGAAAGATATCAGTTCTGACACCTTTCTCGCCATCTTCCTGCGGCTGCAAGGTACCATGGCTTCAGTCTTCCTCCACATCATGAGGGTACCCGGCCCTGCAAGGGTGGGCACTGGCAGTTTGCTTTCCAGCCGGAACTCTAAACTCTAAACTCTAATGTAGGGGATTGAAGAATTACTACGAGCTGTAGTATACTATGCCCGAACACCCTATTCGATAGCTGAGGCCCCTATATTACGCATCTCTGCCAGAGAGGAGCCCCTCACCCCTGAACATGTCATGTCCGCAAGCCACAAGTCGGACAGAGACATACCCGAATACATACATATGCATGGGTGCATGTATGCATGTATGTTTGTGTGTATGTAAGTATGTATGCGTTTTTTGTTGTGATTGCCTAGTTCTTGGGCTGCCTTAGGCTGGTTTTGTAGATGTGTCTATTTGCATGTAAGAGCGTCATGTGTTTCTCCGTGTATCTGGTCTGTTCATAAACAGGTACGTGTATACATGTACATATACACAAGACAAAACTACCTACGTACATACATACATACGTACACACTTACATATATACACACACAGGTATATACGTATACATATACATGTATATGTATGTATATAATAGAAACACGGCTCAGTACAAGGTCCTCCGGCGTCGGTTGTTGCTTTTTCGTGTGTTCCTATTCCAAACCCGGTCGTCAGGACCTTCAGCTAGCCTGGAGCACAAGTGCGAGTTTCGTTGGCGTAGGAATTAGGAGACCCCATTACATATCCCCAACAAATAGGATCCCTGCTTTGGAGATGCAACTTGACACCTCTAACTTGAAGAAGCCATGCGTCATGTTCAGGATTGGAGCGCGAAGTGCGACCATGTTGCGGCGGGTCAATACGCTCCCGTTGTCGACGAACTGAAGGCGAGAACGCTTTGTGGTTCACATGGTGCTGTGTTGTAGTCCTTGTGTACCAGGGCACCCAGATATACAGATGTTTTACGGCTTCAGCAAAGATTGCTCGGGCAGCATGTTTCTTGCAAAATGTTCCGGACAGCTACTAGCACTCAGTCGTGGTAGTGGTGCTACGAACTGAGATAACAACTGCGATGAGAGTCACGATGCGCACGTGGGTTATAGATAGTAACACAAGACTGCTGTAAGACAGGTATAAGACCGTGAGCAATAGAAATATCAAAATCTCCAGAAGAGCTATCAACAGACAGACCCGAGCTTCGGCTACGCTCAACATGCAACTTCCGAACAGTGCGTTGCATAAGGGGCTTGGAGGCGCCGCCGGAGTTTGGCAGGACGGAGAAAAAGAAAGTGAGGCCACCCCAAACAGCAAGCTCCACCCTAAACCCTAAACCCTAAACCCTAAACCCTTGACCCTAAACCCCAAACCCTAAACCCTAAAGACCCTGAAGCCCAAAACCCCAGAGCCCTAAAAGGCCGAAGACTGAGCGGCCTTAAGCCCGAAACTTGTGATGCAGGCCCTCCTGCCCAAGGGCAGCACGGTCCTTCAGCCAGGAGCAGGCTGATGCTGTGTTTCGGAACATGGTTTGGGTTTATGGTTTAGGGTTTAGGGTGTAGGGATATTGTTTATGACTCTTGTCATCACCATTGTGATTGTTACTCCTCTTCTGTATCCTTTTTTTCCAGCAACCATCGCTATGCCTGTTATAGATCATTATTTTGCTGTTGCCGTTGTTACAGAGCAGGCAACGAAGACGGTAGCAAAAGAAGCTGCTGCTGCTGCTGCTGCTGCTGCTGCTGCTGGTTGTGCTGCTCCTGCTGCTGCTGCTGCTGTTACCACTACCACTGCTACTACGGCTACTACTGGTACCACCCAGCACCAGCACCAGCACCAGCACCAGCACCTGCACCAGAACCAGAACCAGAACCACAACTAGAACCAGAACCAGAACCAGAACCACCACCACCACCACCACCACGACGACGACGACAACAACAACAACTACAACAACTGCTGCTACTACTACTACTACTACTACTACTACTACTGCTACGAAGGATGATGATTCCTACTACCACTACGACTACGGCTACGACCACGGCCACGACTGCGACCACGACGACGACTTCCACTATTTGTGCTCCGCTGCCGCTGCTGCTGCTGCCACTTCACTTCCACTGCCGCTGCCACTGCCGCTAGCACTGCCACTGCAACTGCAACCGCACCTGCAGCTGCAACTGCTGCTGCCAATGCTGTTCCAATTTCTCTTGTCGCTCCGGTTTCCACCTTCGTTTTTCGTGTTTACGACTACTACCACTGTTGCTACATTTATTAAAGAGTAGCAAGGCTGCTAGCATGCCGGGGAAGCAGAAGATGAACATCGGGTCACCTCGTCTTATCAATGCCTTCAAACTGATTCGTGTCGTTGTGGTTGCCGTCATGACTGAGTGTTGCTTCTGCTGCTTATGTTGGGAACTCGTCGCGGGGTCTCGTGATGTTTTGTAAGTTTCAGGATCTCAGGAGTTCATGCGCCCAAAGTGATCCTAGGGGCGCACGGGAGGGAGGGGGGGAGTAAGTCTAATCTGTAACCGTGCAGCCCCGCAGCCACTGAAGCCCGCAACTCTAAACCACCATTTACTCCCAAGACCTGCAAGTATCCCGACCTCACACCCCAAAGTAGCGTCGTGATCCCTTTCCTTGTTCTGTGTGGGCAGAGTTGACGGCTGAAGCATTTCGCGGGCTTCGGATTCGTTGTAGGTCTTGGTCGCTTGGCGGTCATGCTGGCGGCCGAGGGCTATAAGGTCGAGGCCAACGAGACTTGGCCAAGAGAGAGGGCCCAAAGACCACCACTGCAGCGACCACTCCCAGTACCACCACTGCCACCG